ATTTTATTTATTTTTAGAGAGAGGGGAAGGGAAAAGAAAGGGAGGGTGAGAAACATCAATGTGCAAGATACAAATGGATCGGTTGCCTCTCGCATGCTTTCTAACTGGAGACTTGGCCCGCAACCCAGGCACGTACCCTGGCTGGGAATCAAACTGGTGACCCTTTGGTTCACAGGCCAGCGGTCAGTCCACTGAGCCACCGCAGCCGGGGCTGGGCTGTTTTTTAAAAATCAGCCGAATCAGTCACCTGGAACCCTTCTTAGTAGGTGTCTTCTTCCCTCCAGGTTCATACTGTAAGGGTAGTTAAAGATTTCGGACAGAGTCGGGGGGTGTGCAAGCGTGGTCACCCCCAAAGTCAGCCAGCCCTGCTCTGGCACAGCTGGCCGTGGCCACCCGCCACCCAGGCGGAACCACTGCCCTGCCAGTCCGTCTAAGCACTGGGTGGGGATACTGTGACCCAAGCGTGAGAGGCTGAGTCCTGCTCGGCTGTGCGTCAGCAAGGAAGCCGGCGCCGAGGGACTCAGCAGGTCTCGGAGGCTCTCTGCTCAGAATCTCCCAAATCTCACCCCCACCTCTCTGGTCCGGGCCTGAACCCCACACAGGCAGGCCCCTTCCGCTGCGCTTCGCTTTACTGAGCTCACGAGTGTTGCTTGTTAGTTATTTTTTATTTTTTTTTACAAGTTGAAGGCCAGGTGTTCCACCAGCAAAACAATTCTGACTCACATTTTCACGATTTGATTCATTGTGGTGGCCACACCTTGGGCCTGCCAGCACCTCGACGCCCCCACCCCCAGCCCCCGAGCCTGGGGTCTCCAGCACAGCGGGAGGACCTGCTGGAGCTCCACGCTCCACACCTGAGTCAGATGCATCAGCCTTCTGCCCACAGGCCCAGTGGCTTCCCCAGGCTCCAGGCCCAATACCCGGCTACCACGCTGGCCTCCGGGTCTACCCCTCAGCCCAGGTCCTCCGAGTTCCTGCTAGCTCGGCCCCACTGCTAGTCCTTGAGCAAGCCACACAGGCCACTGCTTCAGAGCCTATGATACTGAGTGTCCTCTCTGCCCAGAGCGGTTGTCCCCAGGCACCTGCACGGCCAGGCCGGCTCATTCAGGTCCCTGGTGAATCTTCCCCCTTCTCAGGGCCTCTGTGGCCACCACATCTGGGCAGAGGACCACCCTCCCGCTCCTGAGGGCGTTCCTTGCTTGTCTCCACCGAATTCAGCCACGCGGCGTTTGAGGTCCTGCCCGCCCAGGGCAGTGGTAGACAAACATCTGCAGGGGACCAAAACCTGCCCCTGGTTACTGAGGACGGTGTCTGAGTCCTGCTCTGGACCCACCGCACGCTGGCCAAGCCCTGGGCCCCGAGGCTCTCTCCACGCCTCACACTGACCCTCAGCCACAGGGAGCAGGCAGAAGCTGCTGGGTCCCTTAAAGTCCGGACCAGGGCTTGGCTGCTGTGCCCCGCCCCGAACACCGAGGACAGCCAGCCAAGGCGGCCGCCCCACTGCGATGTCATGACACCATCTCCTGCCACCTCCCGACACCGTGGTGTTGGAAGCTTCTGAGAAAACTCTCCAGTTGGCCTGCTGGAGGGGACTGATGGCCTTTTCATCCGGAGGGCGGGAGAGGCTGCGAGGTGGCTGGGCAGAGGTCATGGGCGATAGAGCTGCCTGCCTCCCTCCAAGGCCGGGGGGCTGGGGAGCACAGACCTGTGGCAGTGGGAGGACAGGCTCCACCGTGTAGACTCTGGGGGGTGGGCAGGCAGGGGGGCTGTCCAGGAAGGTGAGTGGTGGCTGAGGGCTAGCGGTGGTGACTGCAGTGGCAGGAAAGCAAGCTCTGGGCTGCCAGCTAGACAGAAGACGACAGACCCAACCCACATGTAGATGTAGCACCTCTCCGGGTTCCCAACCCCGCGTTGTCTCTGGCCGCTCACTCTTTGACACTGTCAGCCTGTGACAAAAGGAACTGGTCAGGGAGCCCATCACAGTTCAACAAAACGGACCGATGGCTGGGTTTACTCCCCAAATTAAGGAGTGAAATTGAAGAATGATGGGGCCGCCTGTCCACCCAGCAAGTACTCCCCTGCAGGGCACGGAATCCAAAGGCGATAACCCGTCCTCTGCCCACTGGGATCTCAGGAAATATTGGTGTCGTGGCCAGGGGCTGCCTGTCCAGGCTGGGGAGTTTCTTACCTGGCTCTGGAGGAGGGCCCTGGGCGTGGGGCGGGGCTTTGGGGTGGGGCGGGGCTGTGGAGGCGGGGCCTGGAGTCCACCTAGGGTTGGCTCCAGCTGCATCTGCTTCCGGGTGCCGGCCTCCCCACCCTTTTGGACTTTCTCTGAGCTTGCTGTCCGCATGTGGAGCCCCGCCTACCACCAGATTTCCCCCCCATCCGAGCACTCCCTGCACTTACAATTGTGGACAGAGGGTGGCGCTGTGGGTTCAAGTGCGCCACCCCAAAATTTGTTTCCAAAAGTTTTAACCCACTTGTGAAATGACCTTCTCTGGAAATAGGGTTGTTGCGGATGTAATTGATGAAGATGAGGTCATAGCCCAGTAGGATGGGCCCTAATCCCATATGACCGGTGACCTTATAAAAGAAGAAATTTGGATACAGACACACATGCACATGAAGCCACATGAAGACAGCGCAGGTGGGGTGATGGGTCTACAAGCCAAAGAATGCCAAGGATGGGGCAGCCACCAGGAGCTGGGTGCGGCCTGAGGCGGGTTCTCCCTCCCAGCCTCGTTAGGTTCGAGCCCTGCCGGCACCTCCATCTTGGACTTCTGGCCTCCAGAACTGGCAGAGGAGAACTCTGCTGTGTAGCCCCCGCCCGTGGTGTGTGTTATGGCTGCCCCCCGGAACCAGTGCAGTAACAGTCCTCCTTAGGGACCCTCGCTGCCTCCAGGAGGCCTCACACCTTCCTGATGGCTGGTCCCCATCACAGGCCCCAAAGGTGTGGCGGCGGCTGCTGTTCGGGCTCAGGCCCACCCCACCTGACGAGCTCGCTCCGGGTGCTAGGAACGCCCTCCGTCCCCACATTACTTGTCTCTGTGTCTGCCACAGGTCCTCACGGAAGTGGGACCACGCAGTATTTGTCGTCTTGTGTCTGGCTTCTTCCCCTTGGCACCATGTCCTCAACATTCACCCACATTGTAGCAAGTGTCAAAATTTCCCTCCTTTCTAAAGCTGCATCATATCCCATTGCACCGCTATCTACCTCGTCTTGTTGATCCATCCATCCATCCACCCACAGCACGTGGGCTGCTGCCACCTTTTGGCGACTGTGAATAATGCAGCTGAATCACTGTGCAAATATCTCCTGTATCTTTTCAACGCCCTCCCAAAGGGGTTGCAGTTATGTTCGGAATGCAACATTATTAAAGAGCCGATCCCTCGGTCCACCTTCTCCTGTGGTCCCTGGAGTGCAGGCTCCGTGAGGAGCGGAAGGACCCGGAGGGTGTGAGTTTCAGTGAATCCAGCAGAGAGCACCAAGGAAGGAAAGCTGTCGAAGGCTCGCACAGGCGAAGAGAGAGACGTTGAGTGTTAGGCACGTCACTGCGTCTTTTCTCGGTCGGTTTTCACAAAGACACCCTCCCAGAGCGACTCTGTGGGAAGGACGCCTGAGGCACTGCGCTCCCAGCCACCCTGGGGGGGGGGGGCTCGCAGGGCTGAAGGCGGACGTGTGAGCCCATGAGACCGCTTCCCTTCATTTCGCTGAAGTCCCGTTAAAAGCAAAGAGTCGCACGTTGCAGGTGCATGTGATACTGTGACAACTGCTGTTTCTTTTTATTAACATAAAAACCGCCATTGCAAAGTGTGAGATCGGCGGCTGCAGGGCGTGGACCGAGCTGCTCGGCCTCCGCTACCACCACCTAGCGCCGGAGCGTTCTCCTCCCGGAAGAGGGAGCCCCGGCCCCAGGGGCGCTCACTGCTGTCCTCCCTCTGCCGGCCCCCGGCCCACGTGAGTCTGTCGATGCGGACTTGCCTGCTCTGGACGGCACATCCATGTAATCACACACGACGGGGCCTTCTGCGCCTGGTTTTGTTTATTTATCTTCCACTGCAGCTTGCAAACTGTGCGGGGGCCCCCCCCCCCCAATGCAGAGACTCACCACACCGCTTTTTCCCCTCCCTCTTGAGCCGGGCGCCTGTGCGTCTGAGCATCTGGGACAGGGAGGTTTCCACGAAATCAGGAGTGTTTCTCTAGAGGCTGTCCCTCCCCTCTCCGTCCCCAGTTCTAAATTCTAGCTATTTTTTATTATTTTTAAAATCTCACCCGAGGATACGTTTCCTGATTTTAGAGGCAGAGAGAGAAACGTCGAAGTGAGAGAGAAACACGGATCAGCCGCCTCCATACGCGCCCTGAACAAAGTTCAAATCTGCAGCCTGGGTATCGGGCCTTGACTGGGGATCAAACCCACAGCTTTTTGGTGCACGGAGGGGGGGTGGTGCTCCAGCCACCCAAGCCACACTGGCCAGGGTCCAGTTCTGTTTTTCTATCCGGTGTTAAGGAATGCTTCTAGCCTGTGGGTTTGAACCAGGACATCTGGTTTTCATATCAGAGCCACTGACCCAGTGTCAGGCTTTAAATAAGGTGAAATACTGCTGATGGAAAAACAAGAAAAACTCAGGAGAGTGGCTGCCAGTGCCTCGGGCCACTCCTGTGCTGGGACCGTCCGCAGTCCAGGGGAAGCAGATTCCGGGCCCCCGCCCTGTAGAAAATGAAGATGAGACTCAGGGAATGAAGGCGAATGTCCTGCCCCGTTTCCATGGAGACATCTGTGATGCCATCCACTCCTCCCAGGATCCCATAGGATGCGGAGCTTGGGAAATCGGTCTGGTCCGAGCCCCGCCCAGGGTTCGGCCCACACTGGGGCCATCCGCTAACTGGTCTCCCTGGTGGCGAAGCTTGGTCCTCTGTCCCGCCCTCCTGACACTGTCTCTGGGAGCCGGCCGGGGCCCCTGCCAGCTTCATGGAGAAGGGACTGATGGTCCTCCGGAGTATGGGTGGCCAAGCTCCACAGTGGAAATTGCACCCAAAAGGGTCCTCACTCAACAAGCTGGACCAGGGCATCAACTGGCACCACTGGAAGAAGGTACGGGGGCAGGAGACTTGGAGACGCCCCCCCCCCGCCCGCCTGCGGAAGGCCCCGGGCTGGCTCGAGGCTTCCGTGGGGGCGTCTTGAAAAGGGGCGAAGGGGGCAGAAGAGAACACAGGAAAGGGGCACCCAGGGTCCGTGTGTCTACCAGGGGCTGAGGGAGACTGGGGGTCCCCCGGTTCCTGGGGGCTTTCTAAATGGACAGTCACCGGGCTTGGCCGCTACAGGTTCTAGAGCCGGGTCCGTCCGTGGGGCTGTCGGCACGCTTGCGGTCTGCAGGGCGAGGGGACGGACCACTGCCGTGGGCATGTGGGATGAGGCCCCGGCTGCCCCGGTCCCTTCTCTCCACCCCTGTCTCCTCTCTCCCGCCGTGCAGAGTGAGGCCACGCAGGGCGCCTCCCCGGAGGACAGGAGCTTCGCGTTGGGCATGGAGGACCTGCGCAGGATGTTTCTCAGGCGCCCAGACTGCCCTCAGTTCTGCTCCCGGGCCACGTCCATGTCCAATTACGGTGAGAGCCGCCCCCGGGGGCCCCGAGAAAACGCCCCCCTCTCTGTCGGAGTCGGGACCTTCCTGGAAGTCAGCCCATTTCTGAAATCACTGTGAATATCACTGCACATGGAACAGGGGGTGGGAGGAAAGAACCTCCTGCCCCCTTCATATCCATTATTATTCCTCTCCCAGCCTCTTGCTTCTCCGTGTCTCGTTCACCAGGGATTCAGTAGGGTTAGGGGTGGGGGAGGTGGAGGAGATGGAAGGTTCTGGAAGCTTCAGGAAAGAGGTCTGAAGGCCAAACTTAACCCATGACGAACCAGCCCCTGTGAAATGCAGAAGTGAGGACGTCAGGCCCCCAGACGGGCCTGCTGGGAGCCTCTGCCACCGCCCGGTCTGGGCTTTGGGGCACAGTGTCTCAGGAGCGCCAGCCAGGCTGGGTGTCACCCCAGGCTCCCCAGCTCCCACACAAGATGCCATCCTGAGTGATGGGGGCGATGATGGTGGTGCCCTCCGCCAGCACCTGGGGTGGTCCTGTTCATGGGTCCGGGCCAGGACTCCACCCACACTCCAGGCCCTGACCTGTGCCCTGAGGGCCAGGCCTTGGAGAGTGGCCAGTGCCCCGGGACCGAGACCTGTGGACAGGTCTTGGGGGAGGGCGGAGCGTCCACGCCCTGGGTGGGGGCTCTGTGCCTGCACAGGGCTCAGCGGCTGGGGGGTGGGGCTTCTGAAAGACTTGGAGGAGGAGCCATTTTTACAGAAGGGGCCTCGAGTCCTCCGACCTGGGCGGGGATCACTGCTTGGCAGAGATCGGCGGCACCTGGTGTGTTTCGGTGGGCACCCTGGGGGTGGGTAGCAGTCACAGCCATGTTTCCATCGAGTCCCAGGGCTCAGTCCCCTGAAGCCACTGGGAAAGGTCACCTTTCACCCGACCCGACGTTTAAAAAGAAGAAAGGAAGGGCCTGCCCCAGCAGTTTTGGGAAGGCGCGACCAGTCACCCGCCGGCACTGTGACACCCACAGGGTCAGCCTGCACCGTCGCCTTGCCCGGGGTGGCGTGCCCGGGCTCCGAGGCCTGGAAGACGCCCAAGGACTCCCCCTCCAGCCAGCAGGGCCTGGATGCGAAGGTGGACGGTGAGGGCAGGGCCCGGTGGACACTGGGGGCCCTTCCTTGGCACCCAAGCCCCGAGGGCCTCGGCTTGCGCCTGCCCAGGCCCTACTTCCCAGGGGTACCCGCTCCCACTCCACGGAACCCCGGTCCCCGGACCACCTGCCGGGCCCCATGTCCCCCACACCGAGGGCCCTGGGATGCATCCCTCCTGGAGCCGAGAGGCCAAAGGCGCCATTCCCACAGACCAATACACTTACTCTCATGACCCAAACACGGAATCCATACCTGTCCTGAATGCGAAAAACCCTGGGCGAGTGTCCGGGGCCACCTGTGCACGGGCAGCACCAGGACGGCCGTGTCACACTGACTCCCGGGCTCTGGGAGCCTGGCCGGGGCCTTTGTGTGTCCCTCCACTTTGTCAGCAGACGCACCGGGCCCAGGGATGGAGGACCTTGTGCAGCCTGAAGATGGAAGGAGGGCTCCCCAGCTGGGCAAGGGAGGGCCTCAGTGGGGGTCTTGGGGGCGGGGGAGGGTGGGTACCGTGGAAGACAGCCACCAGGGCTGCTCGGCGGGAAGAGCCTGGTGCCCTGTTTCTGTACAGGGTCCCTCCTTCCCGTCAGTAAAAGCGCCTGTGAGTTCAATTACTTGCGGAAGAAGAGTGAGTCCCTGATGTTGAGCCCGGTCCCCAGCAGCCTGGTCCCCGGGCAGAGCCACCTGAGTAAACGGATCCCCTGGTACATCTCTGTCATCCACGAGAAGGTACCGCCCGCCGACCCGGGGCCGGATGCTGGGGCCCCGCGCCCTGCGGGAGAGGCTGCCCTGCCGTGCCCCAGGCTCTGTTCTAGAACCCCGTTAGCTGGGCCCGCAGGCCTCCCACACGTGGAATAAACTGACTTCGGGCCCCTCCTTCCACGACTGTGAATCAGACCTTTACACACCTCTGGCCCCTGTTTACCCTCAGCCAAGAGGGTGGCGCTGTGAGACTCGGGGACTCACCCGCTGGCGTGCAGCCATCCGTACAGCTCTGGCTGGTCATTCCACGTGGGGATACGTTGTCGTAGAAACGGTGATGGTCAGCTTGGGAGGCAGAGATCGACCCACAGGTCACGAGGCAGGCCGGCCCCCTCAGGATCTTGGGATCCCTTTGACTTTGGTATCGGGTATTTCCGACCTCGTGGGAAGGTGGGACGCAGCTCCCTCCCGCCTCTCTCTGTCTCTGAGCGAGTCTGCCTGCGGTTGGGGTGGCTTCTGGTTCAATGCTGAAGAACTCCTCCCTGGGGCATCCGTGTCTGGAGGCATCTTACACGGTTGGATTTTACAGCAACAAATTCCACTCCTTTCACGATACTCAGATTTCCTCTCTCCTGTTGCTGCCCTTTGGGTGAGCTACCTTATTTTAGGAATGTGTCCATTCTAGGTAAATTTTCAGATGGATTCACCCAACCGGGGGTAGAACGGGCTGCTGCTTCCCTCCCCCCATGTCGGTCCCTGGCGCTGCTGACTCCCACCTCTTTCTCTCTGCATCCGTCTTGCTCGAAGTTTATCGCCTCATAGTCTTTTCTTAGAGTCAGCTTCTGTTTTGTTTTTTTAAGGTGGTGAAGATTTAACGACAAACCTGTAGGTGGCAGGTGGGTCCCCAGGGGACGCTGACCAGGCCCGAGAGTGTGGGTCCGTGAGCCCTGGTTTTACGTTGATTCTGTAAAGGCCACCCCTACATTTTGGGGTGTGATTGCAGGAGCGTTGATTCCCCTGGACCAAGCAATGCCCCTTCGGGGAGAGAGCCCGACGGTGCAATCGGGGAGAGCCACACCGGAACGGCGAAAGGGCGTTCTCTGCAGTGCTGACTCCCACGGACTGCAGAACGCGGCCCCCAGCTCCTGTCCATGAGCCCACAGGGGAACGGCTGTGGGTGGGCTGCCTCCAGAGCTCATGAGGGGCCTTGGAGCTCTCCTCTCGTCCAGGCTGCCTTCCTCTGAGCTGTTGTACAGGTGCACCTGTCTCCCCTGGGGGCAAGAGCGCCACCTGCAGCACCACACAGGTGTTGCACCATCTCTGCAGCCCCCGTGGAAGGGAGCACCCTCTTCACGGTGATCACTGTCTGGTTCGGGGCACACGCGTGTGTCTGAGTCGCCACAGCCAGGTGAAGGCGTGATGTCTGCGTGACCATCGTGCACTCTAATCTAATCATGCAGATAATTCCACATACCCTGCAGATTCTCCAAACATCACAGCATTGCCGTGTGTGCTCTTTCCTCTCCTCTCCCTCCGTGCCCCGCTTATATCATTCGTTCTTGATATAAGAATGTCTGTCTGTCTGTCTCTGTACCATTGTCTTCCCTCTTTGCTCTTTAAGTTTGATTTGCGGTCTTTTCCTGAATTCTACAGATGGATACTTACATAATTGTTTTTCATTGTTTTCTCCAATAGATGCATTTTTTAAGGCTACCAATTTGTCCTTAGTCACAGCTTTAGCTGCACCCCACAAATCCCAAATGTGTCCGGGTGTTCATTGTTGCTCGGTTTAAGACATTCCCTAGCTTCCTTTGTGATTTCTTTGCCTCGTGGGCTGTGTGGGGGCCATCACTGGATCTGCAAATTTTGGAGAAATTTCTAGTTATCTCTCTTTCCAGAATTCTGTCTGGGACCCTCTGCCTGAGGAATGCCCCTCAGTCTCTCCAAGTCCAAGTCCGCCAGGGACACATCCTTTCTGCCCCTTGTGTGTCCAACCCCCGCCTCCCCCATCTGCATTGTGTCTCCCCAAGTCTGAACAGTCGAGGGCAGTGAGATGCTCAGCACAGAAGGCCGAGGGGCAGAAGGCCCCTAGTGGTGGCCCTCAGAGGGCGTCACTGGTCAGGTGTGGGGCTGCACAGAGGACCGGCGTCCTCAGTCCCAGCGGGCAGCTAAGGGGAAGCTGCCGGGAGTCTCCCTGGGCAAGGATGTGAGACGTGCCCTAGTCAGTGTGTGGCTGCATTAGGAGGCCCCCGTCCCGGGCCCGGGATCTGGGGGTCCCTGGGCAGCAGGTGTGCCCCCCTGGCCTGGAGCTGCTGTCCTGCAGGGGCTGGGGCTGAGGGTGAGGGGGCTGCGGCACATGGCTGCCCCCATTTCCTGCCCAGGACCACTGCCTGTCCATGCTGGGGGCGGAGGTGCGGCGCCTCTCGGAGCTGGAGGTGCAGGTCCGGAGGAAAGACCAGGAGATCTCGGCACTGCAGGAGGAGCGCGAGGCCCTGCGCAAGCAGCTGAGAGACCTCCGCGGGGGCAAGGTCTCGGAGGCGCCCGCGGGCCAGGGCACGAAGGTGAGTAGAGCGTGGGAGTGCCCACCGGTCCCAGCACGATACAGACACAGCTGCCAGGGTGTCCGAACCTCCCGGCGCCCCTCAGAACCCAGTGTGCCCTTGCCCCCAACACCATCCTGGTTATCCTGGAAGGCTGCCAGACCCTTGGGGGAGCTCGGGCTGGGTCTCAGGGTGCAGAGTATCTTCCTGCTACGCCGAGGCTGCAGGTTCGATCCCTGGTCAGGGCACGTACAAGAACGGACCGACAAATGCACGAAGAAGCGGAACAGCAGTGTTTCTCTCTTTCTCCCTCCCTCTGCCTTCCTCACATCAGTAAGCACACATTTTTTAAAGAAGAGCCATGAACGGGACAGCTCGTCCTGCGCTCTGCCGCCAGCTTGCTGTCTCCCCAGGACAGGCTGTCGCTCTCTCTGGCCTGTGAGATGAGGGCCAGCTCCTGTCATTGGAGGGAAGGGCCCCCCACAGGTGGAGCCCCCAGACCCGGCCTGGCCGTGTCCCGAGGGCGGCGGTGACTTGGGTTGGCTGCCCTGTTCTGCTGGATGCCGCACACCCATGTCCTTGCCTGTCAGGGGGGCTTGGGAACGCTGACCCCCCCAGGCCTGGATGGGGCGTGGAAGGAAGCGGATGTGGGGTGGCCCAGTACCCAGTCCCTGGTCTAAGACCGGATGTTGTCATGCCTGAGGCTACAGCCCGGTTTCGTGCTGGGGACACACAGGAGTGTGTGTGTGTGTGTGCGTGTGTGCGCACGCTTCAGACCTTCGCCGAAGCCCACAGGTGTCTCCAAGGAAAACAGCCCAGAAGCCGCTGATGGGGGGGTGTCCGGTGGGCGGGGAAGCAGGAGTCTGGCGGCCTGACGCTGTCCTGCCTGCGAGGGCTGGGAGTTGACAGAGTGGGGCAGGGACATACATGGGAGGTGGGCACGTCCCAGGCCGGACCCTCCGCCCTTCCCAACAATGGAGCTCACAGAGGCAAGGCTGCCGCTGGCTGCCACCTGCAGTCACTGACCCCACCTCCCGGTGCAGAGCAGCTTCAGTCCCCGTCCCCCTGCCCCCCTCCCCGGTGGACAGCCAGGTCTGCAGGTGTGGCCCCTGGAGAGCCAGGAGATCCGTGCAAAACCCTGAGGCCCACACGGGCTCTTGCAGGAGCGGGCCTCCGAGCTCCTGATGAAGCCGTGGGACAGGCAGAGCTTCCTGCAAACCTGCATCAGAGACGAGGAGGAGCTGCGGCACTGGAGGCAGGTGCGGGCCGGCCCCTCCCCGAGGGCCCCACGTGCAGCCCAGACCTGGTGGGGCACCCCCGTCGCCCTGTCCTGTGAGGGAGCCAGTGGTGGGGCTGCTCCTCCCCGAGAAGCTTCTCCAGCCCCCCACCCCGGCGTGCTGGTCTCTTGCAGTCCCCCCAGAAGGAGCTTCCACGTCTAGGCTGGGGAGGGTGCTCCCTGATCCTGCACAGCCCTGGGGCACCCACAGCCTGGTGTCCCCTCCCATCCCCAGATGCAGGAGGAGTACGTCATGCGGCACAGAGCGCAGGACCCTGAGGCCGTTGGAGAGGAGGAACAGGGCCTGGAAGGGGTGGTCGAGAGGCAGGCGGACGAGGAGGAGGACGAGGGGGCCCAGAAGGGGGCCGAGCAGGAGGGGGGAGGTGAAGAGGGGGAGGAAGAGGGGGAGGAAGAGCTGGAACTGGAGCAGGAGCCGGAGCCGGAGGGCTGGGCGGGTGGCCGGAGAGCGGCCTGCTTCCCGGACGAGGACTTTGAGGAGGAGCTGATGGCCCAGCTGCAGGAGTACGAGCAGGTCATCCAGGAGTTCCAGTTCGAGCTCGAAGTGGCCAGGACCAGACTCTCCCTGGCAACTGGTAGGCGGCCACAGGACTCGGAGGCGGGACCGGCCCCCCACCCCACCCCAGGCTGGGCAGTGGGGAGGCCCGGCCCTGCCCCGGTGCAGCGAGCCTCGTGGGGAGGGGCGACTGGGGTGGGAGCCAGAGCCCTCCAGCCGCCCCGGGTGACCCCAGGCCCCTGCTGGGCCGCGCCCCCTCCCCGCCGTTCACCCAGGAGCCTGCATATCTTTACAACGACAAGTGGACCACCAAGAGACCCAACTGCAGAAGGCCGACACGGAGAACCAGCTGCTGCAGAGGGAACTTCGCGAGCGGAAGCGTCAGTTACAGGCCATGACCGACAAGGTGGCTGCCCCAGCCCACTGCTGGAGATGCTGAACTTGGGGGCAGCGGTGACTCGCCCAAGGTCGCGTGGCAGACGGAGGCGGGTGGACTGCCCAGCAGGCTCCCCACGGTCACCCTGCCTCCTGGGCCTCTGGCCACTTCCCAAGCACCCGCTGGCCCCCGAGTCCCGGGGAGGAGGCCCCACCCACGCGTACAGAGGTCGTCACTCTGCTGAGTCCACCCCTCAGGCATTTTAGTCTGTGTTTCTACCAGACTTTTTCACCCGCGTAGCTTGAAGAGCCAGAGATCCTCAGTCTTGTTATGTGAACAGGAGGGTCCTGTCCTCCTCCCCGCACTGGTCCCTCCCCAAGGTGACCTGCTCTTTAGGACTCCCTGGCCCTGCGGCCCCTCCCCTCTCGTCGGTGTTGGTGGGTTGACCCTGGGGCAGTTGTTGGCAGTGCACTGGCAGCTGGAACTGGTTTGTGAGACATCTCCGTTCATAAGCCGCGTGTTAAAGCTGCCCCGCCCACACCTCCCTCTTGCTCCATCTACACGTATATTCTCTGGAGGGTGTCCTCCAGTCGTGTTTTGAGGACAGGTGAGTGGGGGGTGAGTCTGGGGGTCGCCATGTGTCTCCAATGCCTCTGTTCTATGTGTTAGTGGTTTGGCTGGAGGCAGAATTCCAGCTTGGAAAGTGCCCCCACACCAGGGGTGATGTCCCTGCTTCCTGTCTCCCCAAGTCCGGGGCTGCTGGGGGGAAGCCCACGGTCACCCTAATTTCTGTGCTGTCCCACGACTTCTTGGTGGCGGCTGCTTCCCTGCTGGAAGGGCACAAGACCCTGTGTTTGTCCCAGCCGTTCCGAAACTTCACGGAGTTGTGCCTTACTGAGGGTTCACTTCCACTGTCTGGGGCCCTCGGGGGCCAGCTGGGCACCCTGTCCCTCCGTCCGTTCTGGGGTTTGTCTCTGTTTGTGTTGCCTTTCACCTCCTCTCCGGCCTCCCCGCCCCCCGCCACGGGTCCCCCACCCAGGGCCAGCTCTCCTTCCCTTCCGGCACCTTCCTCCTCTCAGGCCTTTGCCGCCCATTGAGGGGCTTCCCTGGACTGACCCGCAGCCGCTCCCAAGTTTGGATTTTGTGATAACGTCTGCGATGTCCGGGGTCTCTTTCTCTCTGAGTGTTCCCTTTTCCCCTCTTTTTCCTGAAAGCCCACCCTCTACTTCTCCATTGGAGCATCTTCTCTTTGCCTCCCCCCACCCCCCGCAACCCCGGTGTTCATGGTCGTCCTTGGTTTTAACCTCTTGTGTCGTTTCTATATCCTACGAGTTCCCTTTGCCAGCTTGTCTGGGTCTCTGTCGTTCATGGGAGGGAGGACTTGGCTCCCATGTCAGGGCACCTAATGGCCATTCTGTGCTTTGTGGCATGGGGGTGCACGTGGGCATTTTAACCGAGAGTTCAGATGTAGAATTTATGGGTCTTTCTCTTGGTTGGTCAGATTCCCCTGGAATCTGGGAAACTGGAAGAATTTCTTGCCCGGATGTGAGGGTCTCGCTGCCCCTGCCCTGGGCCCGCAGTGGGGAAGGAGGGTGTGGCTTTCCCCTTCAGCACCCACCTCCCCCCACCTCGAGTCTGGGGTCTCCCGGGTCAGACACCCCCCGAGTGCCCCGGGTCCCTTGACCTCCAGGCTCGGGCCAGGTGGGAAAAGAGCGGGCTTCTGGCAGCTCAGCTTGGGGGGGAACGTGTCCAAAACTTCCTCCCTCCCAGCTCCGCCTTTGAGCCTCTGGGTCCAATTCCGAGCTCTGGGGGCCAGTGCACCGCCTGCCCTCGGCCCCAGTGCCGCCGTCGAGGCCCCGTCCTGGGATCTGCTTTCTAGTGCCGGGGGTCACGGCGCTCTCCCTCCTCTTCCTCTCCACCCTCATCAGAGACGCGCCCCAGGGAGGGAGAGGGCAGACTCCGGGTGTCCGTGACCCTCTGCGGCCTCCGCCTGTTGTCCCCCGAGCTACCCTGTCTGCCTCCCTTCCAGTTCTCCAGCCTCCGGGAAGAAAAGAAGTGGGAAGAGGTGAAGGGGCTGGTTGAGAAGGACAACCTCCTCCTCCGACAGGTGCCTGCGGGCCAACCCCCAGAGCAGAGTCGGGGTGGGGGGCCCACTCATTTTAGGCAGCACCCCACCATCACTGGGTTCGGGTGTGACTTCAGGAATTCAGAGAGAGTTGGCTGTCTTTGGGGGAGGCGGGGTGCGGACAGGTGGGCCTACGCCCTCGTGCCCCCCGCCGCGTCCCCAGCAAGTGTTGGATCTGGAGCGTGAACTCCTGAACCGCGAGCACGCCCTGGCCGAGTCGGATGCCAAGGTCGGCCAGCTGCAGGCCCAGGTGGCCCAGAGCCAGAAGCAGCAGCGGAGCTGGCAGCAGCTGCAGGAGGTGACGCGGGACAAGGTGGAGGCTGTGCAACAGGCCGAGCAGCAGGCCCGCGTGGCCCTGGAGAGCGCCCAGTCCCGGGTTCGCCGCCCTCCCTGCCCCTTCTCCAGGGCCCCGGGTGGCAGGGCCCTGCCTGCCTTGAGTTCAGTGGGGTTTGGAGGCGGGGGGAGGAAGGGGGGCCGCCAGGAGTTTCCCTAAATGCCCAGTGTGAGGGCTGGGTCAGGGAGGGTCTTCCTGGGAGGGGACGGTGCCCAAAGCTCCTGTGGGGAGGGGAGGGTGGCCTGGGGGTTGCTCTGAGTTTTCATGCGTTATTTTTAAAAAACCATGTTCAAGTTCTACCTTTTCACTTAAAAAAGTTGGTGAGGCAGAAAGCCCTTCGTGTTAGGCACCCCCACCCCCAGTCCCTTCCAGCTTGTGGGCAGACGGTGACCCTCTGCCTCCATCCCTGGTCCCCAAATCTGGGAGGTGAGGTGGAGGCCACCTTCCCGCCTTCTGTGAACCCCGGGCCTGGCGGTGGGTGGGCACCTCCACCTTCCCCCCAAGGCCGGTGCCAGCGTCTGCCGTCCTCCCGCAGCTGGAACGTCTGAGGAACAAGATCATTCAGGCCACCTTCGGCGCCACGGGGGCCAAGTCCGTGAGCACCGAGATCTCCGACAGTGACATCCTGGAAGCCTTGCAGGTGCGGCCGGGACGCGCCACCCCGGGCCCCAGGTCCCCGGCCACGTGCAGCTGCAGCCTGGGGCTGAGCGAGGCCTGGATCGGGACTGGGGGCGCCCCTGCGGGTTCTGGGCGTGTCATTGATCTGTGACGCCAGGACTGTCCTCTCTCTGCTCAGGCAGTGGCATCACTGGGCTGGGGAGGCCAGGCCGCTCTTGGCACCAAGTGACCAGCCAGGGAAGCAAACCCTCCAGGGGGCGCTGGGCAGGGGCCCCGCTGCGGGTTCCTGGAGCAGGAGCTTGGCCTCCTGCGGGTGCTTCCCAGCACCTGCTGGGCCAGGACCCTGGTGCAGAGCCCCTTCTGTGGCCTTGGCCACGCCAGCCCCTCGCTGACTCCAGGCAGAGGACTCAGAGGGCAGGGGGTGGGGGCTTGTGGGGAGACGCTGTGGCCAGCCGCTCGGCCGTGCTGAGCCCCAGGGTGCCCTCCACATGAGGAGACAGCGTGCCCACCCTCGGGTGCCATGGGAGAGAGGGCAGCTGGGCCAGTGCTCTGGGGGGAGAGCACCTGGCTGGCTCGGGGGCTGGGAGGGCCTGTGCCCCTGTCACCAGGGGCCCACAGGCTCAGAGCGCCCACCTCTCCCCGATCCCTGGTTCCTTTCCTCTGGGCACTGGGTGGGCCCCGTCCCTGCTGCTCCTGTGAGGTGGTAGTGGTCCGCAGAGGAGAGGCGGACCCGGACCCCTGCCTGGTGCCTGACTGCCTTTGGGTTAAGAGAGAGGCAGGGGAGAGGGAGAGAAGGGGGGTGGGGTGGGAGGGGTTACAATGGAGGGCAGGCGTTGTCCAGGGGCCAGGAAGGAGACTTAGGGACATGGTAATACAGCCTCCTGGTGTGGGATGGACCTCAAGGGACAGACCTGAGGCCCGGCGGGGGCCTCTCTGACTCACAGTGGACATAGAGACAGCTTCAGGGCAGAGCGGCCCTGGAGCCTGCTGCCTGGGGTGGGGGCGCTCAGCACAGACAAACGCAAATGCTGCAGACCCTAGGGCGCCGCGCCCCCACCCCTGGCTCGGGGGTCTGGCAGGGCCAGTGCGGCCGGACAGCGGGGCTCCCTTCCCCACAGAAGCTGGTCTTGGAGAGGGCGGAGTACTACAGCCAGCTGAAGCAGAGGGGTTTCAGAGGCCCCGCCCCGCCGCAGTCCGAGCTGTCCGCGCAGGGCAAGGCCAAGAAGTTGGCCTCCAAGTAGACCTGGCCGCCGCCCCAGTGCCGGCTCTGCGCGCTGTGTCTGAATTAAACCCTGTTGTTGACCTCGGCCGTCACCTTCTCCCTGGGGATACACACCAGGCTGGGGCAGGCGTGGGCTACACCCACACCCCCTTTCCAAAACTCACTCTTTGGGGTCAGCACACCAGCCAGCACCACCAGCTCCATCCTCGGGGCACCTCACATGGAACAGGGTCCCCTCCAGCAGCCTGGGGTTTAGGAGGCCCCCACCTCACTCGTGGACCCCACGTGGGTCCTTCCTCCCTGCCGCACCCCTCTGAGGGCCCTGCTCCCGAGCCCCCTGCCTGGGCTCCGGGCGCCTCAGCTTCGGAGGAAGGTGGGTGGGAATGAGCTCTGCTGTTCGCCCAGGGCTCCGGCGACAGCGCCCCAGGAGGGCACCGGGTCTAGGCACAGGAGCGCGTGCTGTGTGCGGCGGCCGGGGACATTTCTCTCCGCCCCAGGCCCGCCAGCCTACCGGCCTTCCTTACATCTGGGCAGCACCCGTGTGGCGTTCTGCCGCTGCGGCCTCCGGCCCCTCGCAGCCAGGAAGCTGGACGGCCGGCCGCCCAGGCCAGGCAGGCCGCCGGGCGCCCCAGCCCAGCTCCTCGTCTTTCCGCTCAAACCCAGAAGCCCCGGAGGCTCCCGGAGCCCTGCTCGGCGGAGCTCGCGCCCGTGCCGGCGGGGTTGGGGAAGGGTGCGCGCCAGCATTGGGCTGCAACAGCGGGGAGGGGGCTCAAAGATCCTGCCAAACCTGGGTTCTGAGGAGCAGTGTACAGCGGCCCTGAAGCCTGCGCGCAGCCCCATTCGCCCCGCCCTCGTCCCGCCCCGCCCCCTGCAGGGCCCTGCCCCCAAGGTCCCCTTCGGGCCGGGACCTCCCTGCTGGCTCCACACTCCCGACCGGGCCCCGCCCCTCCCTAGTCCAGCTCTCCTTTTGGAAGCTGAGCCTCCCAGGCTCTGCGCGCCCCTCTGTGACGGACGAGTCTGCACCAGGTGAGACGCAAGGTCGAGGTACAGCCTCCCGGTGAATACGGGGCCTGGGGGCGTTGGAGCAGCTAGGGGTGGCCTTGGCTGCTGGGGTCCCCAGGCCTCCAAGGCCCTGGCCTCCCTGGCCTGTGATCGCCTGCCTGGGGTGGTGGGATTGGTGGGGTGGGGGTGGGGGTCAGGGCGTGGGGGCAATCGGCTGTCCCATCCAACAGATCCCTGGGCCTGACCCACAGGGGTGGCCAGATGGGAGCCGCTGGGAGACACCCCAGGGCTGCTTCCTTCCCAACCCCCCGCAGAGCCACTTCTCTTCACCCTTTTTTCCTTTTCTGTCGTTTAAGGTCGGACAGCCCGTGGCACCTCAGACACTGAGCTGCAGGTGGAAAGGGGGTGAAACCCACTGTCTGGCCAAGTTCTGACCACCTGCCTGGGCCCCAGAAGCTCCGCCAGCCTGTCCCCTGGCCAGGACTCCCCCTCTGTGAGTTGTGGGCTCCTCGGAGGAGCTTTGGGGGGAAGGAGTCTGAGGCCCGTGGAGCCCCTGTCCTCACAGGCTCCCAGGGAGCGGTGGTGCCCCGGAGGGTCCCAGGGCAAGTGTTGCTGCCATGCGGCACAGCCCCAGGCTTCTGGGTCACAGGGTGGCCATTGTGCCGGGCTGGACAGACAGTCACCGAGCTGGTGGAGCCATCAGGAGCTCAGCTCTAGGCACGCCACCAACCCCCAGTGGCTCTGTCCAATCGAGCTGACTGGAGAGCCGCATCCCCGTCAGTTCGGAACATCAGTTTGGAACGAGTTTCCCCGCAAATGATAAGAACCGCTGCCCCACACTTGGCCAGATTGGGGCTGACCCTCCTCACACCGAGAAGCCTGCAGTGGGGCAGCTGGTGTGGATGCAGAGGCAGCACCATCGGGCTGGCGTTGCAGGACACTGGTGACAAGGCAGCTGCTGCAGCACCGGCCATCACATCAAGGCAGGAAGGAGGGGATGGCTGCTGTTTCTCTTCTGAAAGTAGAAGCCTCCTCACCCCCCCCCTACCCTCCATGTGTCCCCCAGCACCCTGCCCGCCTCTGGGCAGCACAGGAAAGCAGGGACCAGGGCTTAAGCTTCTGCAGCCTGAGGCCACTGCCTGGGGCTGGCACATTGCTTCCTGGAATGTAACAGCCTCTGCCTGTGGAACCAGAGGGGTGGGTGTGGGGTAGGGAGTGAGCGGCGCTGGCCTGGGCCACTCTCCTGGATGCCCCCTGGGGAAGGGGAGCCCATACTCTCCTAGCATGGGCTCCCTGGGCCCGAGAACTGTTCTGCGTGGCTGCCAGGGAGCAAGGGCCGCACTAGAAAGACAGGCTTTGTGGCCGAGGCGCCGGCTTTCTTCTCCCCTCCCCCCAGACTGGGACAGGGCACCCTGGGAGGCCTGGCAGGGGGCTGAGGATAGTGGGGTTGTGACTTCCTGGGCTGGCTCTGCTTCTGTGTCCGAGGCGCCCTGGGACCGAGGTCAGAGCTTCTGAGGCTGGGGTGGCTGACCACGTCTCGGCCCCTGGAAGTGAGGGGCCTACCGCCAGCTGCCTTCCCTGCCCCAGACCCTGTGAAGACCCAGCTGCCCAACCCCCAGCCCTGGCTTCTTCCCCACCAGGGGGTGGGACAGGGACTGGAGTGCCGCAGGCTGGGGGGCACTGCACAGGGGGTGGGGGGGGTGGGCAGGCCTCCTCCCCCAAAACAGACAGGCTGCACCAGCCCCAGCCCCCCAGCCCAGTCCTTCCGGACCTCCTGGCCCACCCCGGGGCCTTATCTGCCAGGAGTGGGTGGAGGGAGGAGTTATCGGCCCAGCCAGCACTGCCGGCTGGGAGGCCCCGGGGCCACTCAGACTCTCACATTCCTGCACCTGGTTCTTGGACTTTCAGCCTCCCGGGTTGGAATTCCCACTCTGACCCCTCCCCTGGGACTTTGGGCGAGTGGCTTAACCACGCTAGTCCGGGTCACCTCATTGGGAAGACGGAGGACGCAGTCAAGGGGTCAGCCCACCTCACTGCCTCTGCCCTCCCCAGCCCCCAGGGGTCCTCAAGCCCAAGGGCCTGCGGCTGTGAGGTCCAGCCCAGCGGAGGCCCGCCCCCAGCCAGCATGCAGCCCCCGGATTTCAGCGTGCAGTACAGCAGGTGGGAGGAAGTCAGTGTGGGGGCTGCGTCCGGCACCGGCACGGAAGAGGCCTCGAGTTGGGAGCGGTGAGCAGCCCACCTGGGCCGCTCGGCCCCCCTGCAGCCCCCGCCCCTGCGGACTGGGTGCCGGCCCCCTCAAACCCTGGCCCTCCACCTCTGCCTGGTCTGTCAGCCTCCCTCCTGGCTCCCAAGTGCAGCGGAGCACCCCCCCCCGCCCTCCTTTTGGGTCCACCTGCCCCCAGCAGCGCCTCCCCCTCCCCACCGGGGCTCACGTGCTCGCCCTTCTCACCCCAGACTCTCCCTGAAGCTGTGCTCGGGCAAGCTGGGTGTCGCCATGAAGGTGCTGGGAGGAGTGGCCGTCTTCTGGGTCGTCTTCATCCTGGGCTACGTTGCCGGCTACTTCATACACAAGTGCAAATGAGTGCTGGCCACAGGCCAGCGGGGGCATGGGCTGGAGGGATATGGGCGTAGGAGAGCCCCTCTGTACACCCCCCATGTACACAGACCCTCTCCACAGTCCCAGAGCCCGGGACACACCCAGCATGCAGGACACGCACAGGGACCTGTGTGTACAGTCACAGGCCCCTCCACGGGTGCACGGACAGGGACACCTGCGTGCAAGGACACTTGCCCATGACCAGCACAGGCGTGCCTCGCCCGGGGCACCGGTGGCCTGGAGACCTGGGACCAGCCCGAGCTGGGGCTGCAGGCCAAGGCCCCTGGGACTGGGTGGCTGTTGTCCCCCTGGGCGAGGGCCGGGTGTGGCTCCCCTGGGGTGGGGTCCTCCCTGGGTGGGCGTGGTGTGGGGCTGGACAGGCCCCTGATCTCTCTGGCCTGGTGACTCCCCAGTGCCAGGACGGCTCTGAGGGAGGCTGAGTGTGACGCTCTGCCCCCCCTCTCCGGGCCCCCACCCCCTTCCTGGGCCCCGCACCTCGCAGGGGTGCCTGGGGAGGGCTGTGCACGCCCGGGAGCAGTCATTAAACGTCTGTTGAGTGAACACGGATGATGGCCTCTCCCACGGGTCCCCCAGGCGAGGTGCGGCTCAGGCACTTCGGGAGGCCCGCTGGGGGGCACTGGACAGCTGCCAGGAGGCCTGTGGGAAGGGCCATGGAAGGGCCCATCCTGGCAGGGCCTGAGGGCCAGGATGTGGCCAGACCTGTTCCAGCCTCGTCTGACTGCAGAGACCAGGCGCGGTGGCCTGTGGCCCCGCCCCCCTCCTGGGCCTCTCGCTCAGCCCTGGCCTCTTGCAGACATTTGTCTCAGGCCCTGCAGACACCTGCCAGGGACATCTGAGGGGTGAGGGTGGGGAAGAGGGGCAGCCACTGTCCTGCTGGGCCCTGTGTTAAGACCCAGGTGTCATGCCAAGCTGGCAGAGGTGGGCAGGGGACAGAGACCCCACCGGGCAGGTCTGTGGGTGAGGCTGGGCCAGGGGGACATCAGGTGAAGGAGGCCACAGCACCCAGTGACCTCTGGGAGGGAGGCCAGCTGCAGGTGGGGTCTGGCCAGCCAGCTCTAGTTCTGGGTCTCAGCACCTGCCTCCGAGGAGACCCTGCCCCCACCCTCTGGCCCACCTGGGGGGGAGGGGTGTAGCTGGGCCCCACCCTGCTAGAGGCCCTCCTAGGACAGGCCGTGGCGGCTGTGGACAGCTGGCAGCGTGGGCCAGAGGCGCAGGGCCCAGGCCTCCCAGGCCTTCAACAGCCTGGGCCCAGAGCTGGAAGGCGGGGGTTGGGGTGTTGGGGGAGTGGTGGCCTGGTTGCCCCTGCCCACCGTTCCCCGCCCCCCAACTTCTCTGCCGCCCTTTGGGCTCCAAGGCTGCGATCCCCGCACAGCTACTGAACTACTGGGCTGCTGGGTACAGCTGGGCTGACCCAAGGTCCAAAGTGACTACTGGCCTAGGGCAAGGTGGGGCAGGGGGGCTGTCTTGGGGAGGTGGGTGGGGCAGGGAGGTGGGGCAGGTGGGTATGGCCCTTGGGTAAGGCCCAGAACTAGGAGCCAGAGGAGGGGGCTGACCCGAAGGTCTCTGCAGCAAAGCCCAGGGCTCCAATGTGGCATGGAGACCCAAGGGTGCTCCTGGAGTCACTTCCCTGGGGCCACCGCAGATGGCAGAGGCCAGCACTGGCTCTGGCCGGAGTGGGCTGGTCATGCCCCGTGCAGCCCATGGCCTGTCCAGTGTCAGGATGGAGGCCGAGGGCAGCCTGGTAGGTGTGTGTTGGTGCCCGGCCCTGTCTGGCGGGGGAGCCAGGGAAGCATGGGGCACACGCGGCCTCTGAGGTATGGCCCTTGGGTCCCCAGCTGCACCAGAGTGGCTTCAGTCCCACTGTCCCCAGGGCCATGTACTGGGCACAGCCTTAGGGCCCTGAGAAGACTGGCTTCCTGACATAGGTTTAGGAAGGAATGATCTGCAGGGTGGGGGTGGGAGGGCTGCAGGACAGGAAGGAGGGGCTGCAGGCGGTTCCGGTCCTGGATCCTTTCCTCCGATATCTCCACCCCCGCCTGCAGAAACCCAGAGGACTGGCGCTTTTTATTAGGCGGCGGGGCGGCATCTGCTGCACACGAACTCCATTTCCAGCCCCGTGGGGTCGAGCTGCCGTCTCCACCAGCATGGAGGTCACACAGATGATCCCATGTGGCACCGACCTCGATGGCCCAGGAGCCAGGAAGGCAGCTCAGCTGCCCCCTGACCCCGGAGCGGACCCCACGGCAGCCACCGAGTTGACAGCCGCGCTGATGCCCGAGGGCCCCGAAGTGACACCCACATGTGGATGTCTGGGGGGCTCTGGGGGGGGGGCAGCTGTCATTGGCCTGCCTTCACCAGCCCAGGCACGAGGATGGGAAGGCTTGGCAGTGACAAGAGAACCAGGCCAGGGTCTGGGCCCCATACCCCACCCCTGCAGAGCAAGTGGGCCGGGCCCGGGGAACCACGGGCTTTGCTCAGACCCCCACGTGCTGTCCCCGGCCTCACGGTTCTGATGGATAACGACCCCCGCCCCCAAACTGAAGGAACACAACAGTGGCCCTTTGCAGGTTACGGACACTGAGCGCACAGTGTCACTGGACAACAGGGGCTGTACCCTCTCCTGCCCTCCAGCCAGGTCATGACCGGCAGCCGCACTCCCAACCTCAAGGACGCTCACACAACACGCACACACAGACACAGAGGGTCTTCGACATGGAGCCCAATGCGCCCTCCGCAGTCCCCACTGCTGTCCCCGGCCCTTCCTCCCCCCACACGGCCCTCCCCCCCACCAGGCAGCCACAGAGACTCGGAAGCGCTTACTGAGGGGACGAGTGTTTATGAAGGACCGGAGACGGGGCTCTAGGCCACACTCTGCAGTGGGACTGGGAACCGTGTGACGGCGGGCGGCCCCGCACGGGCCGACGAAACGCGCACTGTGCCGCGTGCTCCGCCTGGCGCCCGGCACCAAACCCTGGTCTTTTCTGCCGAGTGTCTGGTGAAGCCACCTGACCTTGGAACGTCCTCAACACGGGGTCCTGCTACTCCAAACAACTTTGTCAAAAGCCGCGGTCACAGCTGCAGACAGAAGAACTTAAGCACGTGACCACATGGCACACCTTTACGGCAGAACCTTCTGGAACGGGAGAGACAGTGCGAGGGCTGACGAGTGGGTGGGTGGGGGCAGTGCAGCAGGTGAGCTGCCCCCACACCCGGGCCCGCGGAAAGCCGAGCTGGCTGCGTCTCAGCGCAGCACGGTGACGAGGGCAGCGGGCAGGTCCAGGTCCGTCTTGGACGGGTACACCACCTTCAGGCGGCCCTCCTCGTCCACCACCCGCACCTGCTCCACCAGCAGGGGCGCCGGCCCGCCCTTCCCGACGCTGGGATCTGTCTCGGCGTCCGGAGGCTGTCCGGGGAGGGCGTTGGTGTCTGTGTCTGAGACCGCTTCCTCCTCTCTATTTTCTAAAGCACATTTGTTGATCTCTGCCATTTTCTGCAAGTGAAAAATACCTTTTCAACCTGGAGAATCAGAGGCGACCCAGGGAAGCCGCTACCGGGCCCCGGACGGCCGTGGGAGGCAGGTGTGGGGAGCGGGGTCACCCACCAGAATGAGGGCGTCCATGGCGTCTTTGCAAATCTGCAGACTTGTCGCACTCGTTACTTCCAGAAACAAATCGGAAGTCGTCTTCCTAATCTGGGAGAGATGAGGAAGACTTCAGACAAGAGCAAGTTACCAAAAGCAGACGCCAGCAACCGCAATGCTGAGTCTGAGGAAAACCTCAGGGGACGGGGCCACTCGGCCCAGACTGCCACGTCCCTGCGGACGGGCACAGCCCGGAAGGCTGAGCGCAGGCTGGCGGCTCGGCCCCAGGCCGGGACACCAGACAGGCGGACGCTCACACGCGGCCCACCTTCGTCTTCTCGCTGTTCGTGATGGGAGGGAAGGAAATGACGTCGCCGTCCGCATCAAGCAGGCAAGGGTACTGCTCCTTTCCGTCCAGCAGGTGGAGGTACCTGTTTGGGGGAGACTCGTCACGGTGCGGCCACGACAGTGCACCTGTGCTCGGACCAGGCAAACCCAGGCTCTTTCCACGGGGACGGCGTGTGGGGTCCAGGGCGCACCCAATGGGCTCCAGGGAGAAGCGTGTCCTGCACACTCCGTGTGCTAAGCCGGGTGGGTCCCAGGGCCTCTGGGCACATTCCCTGGCTGGGCGAGACCCAGGCGACATGCTGTGGGCTTGGTGGTTCGCCTTCTTGGGGCTGGTGGGTGATGCGGCTGCCGCCCCCAACCCGAACACTGCAGTCCCTCTCCCTGGGGAGTAGTGTCCACCCACCGAGTGTCCACGACCTGTGGTCTGAGTCCTGCCTTCTCCCTCATGCAGGAGGGCCTGACTGCGGAGCGAGCAACCTCTGGGGGCTGGTGGACAGCAGTCGGGGAAACGGGGGCCCATGCCTGACCCCCCGAGTGTGCCTGCTGGCCGGCAGCACCCCACCTGTGCAGGCCCGAGACAGTCTGCCGCTTCCTCTGCTTCCGGTGCTCCTCCGCCTCCAGCTGCAGCTGCCGGACCAGGTCCCTGGCCTTGACTTCCTTACGCCCCAGGGGGACGATCTTTGGGGGGAAACCTCTGGTCAGCTCTCACGGAAACACCCTCGCAGCCACCAGCACCCCCCCCCGCCGCCTTTCACTCCCTCTGGCAGTGGCACCAGAGACGCGCCTGAGTCTCCTACGTGAACTGCTACGATGACAGCAGAGGTGACAACTGTCCCGCAGCCGACAGCTCTCCTACATCACATGGGGTCACAGGTGCCTTCAGAGGTCACTACGGAAGCCAAATACCCAAACACTCAAGTACTTTTGAAAATGAGCTTGACCCTGAACCTGCTGCCCACACGGTGGCACTTCCAAGGCCTTGGGACGGAAGGTGGAGTGGGGACGTGGCCGGTGGTGGGACAGCAGGATGGGTGCGCCCAAAGTGTCCCCACAGGGCCACTGGGACCCTCTGCACCTGGGACCTGCGCTGCACAGAGGCCATCAGCCCCGGGCAGGGCTGGGACGGGGCTGTTACGGAAATGAGGTCCTGCTGGGGCTTTGCACCTGGGACACGAACCACACACTTTCGGTTCCCAGTCAGCATGTGAAGAAAACCCCTTTCCAGGTCCGACCTCCCCAGAAGAGCGCGCTTTCCGACATGAACGTGAGCCCTGCCTGTGGTGCCACCAGGTGCGTGCCCAGGGCAGCCTCTGGCTCACGCACTTCTAAACAGAGAGGAACACTGCAACCCGCAGCCGCGGCAGGACACACGTCACCTTGAGGTCCTGTGGCGGGCGGGCGGTGTACAGCAGGGGCCCTCGGACGGCTCGGAGCTCGTGGCTGGCGATGGTGGCCGCCGTCCTCTTTTCGCAGAGCTCCTCGTGCAGCTTCGTCTGCAACGGGACAGCGGGGCCAGGGGGCTGGGCGCGGGCGGCTCCCGGCCCACCACTCCCTCCGGGAGACATTCCCACCTGCTCCCGGCACAGTCGCTCCTTCCCAAACTCTAGGACACCACCCGGGAGGCCTCGAGAACCCGTCCTGAACGAGGGCATGTGGCTGAGAGAACACGAGTGGGACCCGAAGGGAACGGTGACCCCAGCACGCTTTCTTCTAGAACCCGGGTCTCCAGTTCTACGCCCCAGGCTCTGCTGCTCCCCCTGCCCCAGGGGCCACACTCAGGGGGCCCCCCTGTGTCAAACACCTGGCTTATGCTGTAAAGTGGGGCTCACTGCTCAGAGACCAGCCAGGCAGGAAGTCTGTCTGGCTAGAACCTAAACAAAAGGTGAACAGCTCACAGCAGAGCAGGCTGGTGAGTTGATTCACTCTTCAACCCTCCCCGAGTCCTTGCTCACTGATTTTACAGGGGCGGGGGGGGACGGTGAGTGAGACACTGCCCTCGCTGCCTCATACATGCCCCAACGAGGGACCGACCCTGAGACTCAGCCTTGGGCCCTCAGAAGCATTGAACCTGTGACCTGTGTGTGGCATGACGCCCACCCACTGGGCCACCAGTCAGAGCTCTGTGGATGAGCCCGTGTGACCCTGAGAGTGTCATTCATCACAGAGAAACTCCGCCCAGACGCAGCAAGTGCTGGCACACCGCTCCTGGTGGTGGCAAAGCCATCCTCAGAGGTGCGGCTGGGCTGTGGGCGCTGCGGGGGAGGGCAGGAGGGCAGGAGGGCAGGCCCCCGGCCCAGGCCTGGCCGGGCTCACGGGGCTCTGTCTGCCCGAGGTGCCTGCGACACACCTGGCCGCCCCGGGCACGCATGCTTCCGGGGCATGCTCGCTGACACTCCCCTACCAGGGAGGGACCTGGGGCAGGCAGAAGGGGCAGGCCTAGGTCTCGGGGGCCCCTGGCCTCCCCCCGCCCAGGGCCACGCCCACTGCCCGCACCCCACGCTCTCCCCCACCCGCCCACACCCACCTGAGAGGTGAGGAAGCGCTTGAGCGCGTTCCCGGCCTGCAGGTCCATGCCCCTCAGGACAGCCCCCACGATGTAAGGCCGGACGTCCCTGACCTCGGGGCTGACCGTGACAGTCAGCGGGGCCGGGTTCTCGGAGACATGCAGCACCCTGAGCAGCAGTCGGCCGGCCTCGTCCACCTCCTCCTCCTCCTCGCCACTTTCCCTCTTCTTCCTCTCCCTCTTCTTCCTCCGGCTCTCGTCCTTCTCCGGGTCGGCCTTGCCTTTGCCCCTGCCGCTGCCCCGGCCCCCCACCCGCAAGTACTCCAGGACGGACTTGGTCTGGCAGCTGCCGACCATCTTCTCTAGGCGCCGGTCCTTCAGCCGGTTCCCTCGCAGGTTGACGTCCTTGAGCCGGGGGCAGTCGGCCAGCTCCGCCGGGATTTCGCTCAGCTGGTTGTTGGAGAGGTCCAGTGTCTGAAAGGGAGAGCGCACGTCAGGCTGCTGGGCTGTGCCTGGCTTCGGGATGGGGACGGAGGGCACCCGTCAGTCCCAGCGACCCACGTGTGCTGGCCGGCCGGCACCCGCCCCAGCCCTGTGCGGTGCTGCCCTCAGCAACCGGAGGCTTCTTGACGGGATGGGCTGGCGATGCTGCCTGGTCCCTACACACCCGTGTCGTGACCCTCGGGTCACAATTACAGCAGCGTCGCAGAAGGACGGTTAGGCCAGAGAGACAGGAGGTGGACAGAGACAAGGGCAGAAACCATCTGGTCACGAGACGAGCACTTCAGGTGACAAGCAGGCTGGTGTGGAGACGTCTGTGAGTTAAAGGAACGGACTGGATACACCTGGAGTCAGCACGCTCGCCCCAAACTGAAGTGCGGCGCAGGTGGCGCGTGGGCAGGCGGCCTGCACAGGCTCCCCAGGCTCTTGCCGAGACCCAGAAGAGTCTCGGAAACACAGGCATTGCCAGCAATCGGAACGGGGGTGGAGAGGAAGCGGCATCGAGGAGGTCAGATCCTGTCTGCAGTCACCAGCGGGCTGAGGGCAGCAGGCGGGGTGGTGGGTGAGCAGAGCCCCACTCGGGCAGGACTGGACAGGGTGGGGCACATGGGCAAGACCGCACTCCCCAAGGGGCCTGGAAGCTCCTCCCACAAGAGGCGGAGCCTGCACCCAGCCCCCAAACCCCAATAGGCAGGGGTGGGGCCTGTGCACACTTGGTCCCCAGCCCAGGCATGTGCCTGGCAGGCTAGCTGGTCAGAACCCTGGCACTGGATGGAGACTGGGCTGCAGCACGGAGCAGGATGGGCCGCCGACACCAGCTGCCCCTGTGTGCCTCCTGACCACCCTGAGCCCTGGGGGGGGGGGCAGTGAGGGGCTGATCTGTCGGCTTCGAGGTCCCCTGCACTGGCCAAAGCGGCTTTGGCCAAACAGCCCACCAGGTCTGCTGCCGTCACCCTCATCGCTGCACCCAAGCACGGCTGCCTGGGGCCCGGACGTGTCTGCCCCCAGAAAGGCCCAGCCTCAGCAGCAAAGAGCAGGCCAGCAAGGGAGGCCGAGGGGAGAAGCCCTGGTGGGGGGCCCCCAACTGGAGGCGCCTTTGGATCTCCTGAGTGTGCTCTGCAGGGACAGGGGGCTGGGCAGGGCTTCCTCCCGGGAAGCAGGGTCTGGGTCATGCGCTGTGACAGTGAGGGCGTGACGCCCAAGCTCACTCCCAGGGAACGAACGCGCCCTGTGAAGCAGCGTCCAGCACCTGCCTGGGGCGGACCCACAGAGAACTGGGCTTGCTCCCTGCTGGCAGCTGACACACCCCAACGGGCAAAGCAGGCCGGTCTCTGACCACAGACTGCGGTGCCTCCTGGGAACATCACCTCTGCAGGGGACATGTTGCTGAGAGAGGGACCCCGGACTCCTGGGTATGTGAACCTGAGACAGCCCCCTGCTCTGGAGGGGTGGGTATAGGGGCCATGTTCATCCCTGTGGGTGGTGGCCTCTCCCCCTCAAATTCTCTCATCACTAGACACGAGGTTTCCCCGTGAATATTTTAACCTTCCTGTGAAACGTGTGTGCGAGAACTCCCACACGTGAGCGACACTGGGTAACACGAGTGGGCACGTTTCCTGGCAGGAAGGAGGGAGACCCTGGATGGTGCTGTCCCGGCCTGTTCCAGCAGTTTGGAGGCACATCTGCCTGTCACCCCCCATCAGACCTCTGACATGCTGCAGCCCTGATGGGGCCCAGCAGCAGCAGGACCCTGTGCGGGACAGACACCACCGGGAGGAGCCCACTCCCCTCTCAGGTCTCCCCAGGGGACAGCAATAGCCAGGTGACTGCGAAGCCAGGGCCACCAAAGGCAGAGAGGACTGTGTGGTGAGGGAAGGCAGTCCGGTGCGGCCATCTCTCAGCTTCCTTGCCCCAGGCCCCGCAGTGGGGACAGCTCCTTGAGGGCGGGCACCAGGCATGGGCCAAGGTGGCCTCCCCACACGGGGGGCAGGGGAAGTGGCAGAGGCTGGTCTGCTGTCACTTCACTGGGGGACGCCTGCCCCCGACTCGGGACCGGGCTTTAGGTATTTTTAATCAACAGGAAGGGCAAGGTACTGGGGCAGGGGCTACATCAGAGGGCCTGGGAGTCCTGAGCTGCCACATGGGAGGAGGGAGGGAGGGGTCCCAAGGTCACACGGAAAGGAGCCCAGCCACCTGGCTCCCCAGACAAACTGGCCACGCGTGTGTGATCCCCAGCAAGGCAGTGACCACCAGTGGAGTCGGAGGCCCGGAATGGAGAACCTTCAGCAACTGAACTGACTGTGGTCTCAGTCTAGGGTGGTGACTTAGTCAGGACCTGCATAGCCACACCCACCTCTGCTTTCCTGTCTCCCAGGTGAGGGGCCTTCATGGAAACCCCTGCTTTCTGCTTCCCATCTCCTCCACTCCAGCTGGTCCTCAGGAAGGACGAATGCCTCACCCTGCCAAGCCCCGGCCTGTGCGCAGTAGCGTGGCTCCGCGTTGCACATCTCCAAAAGCCTCCCCCACCCGAGGGACACCCAAGCCCCAGTGGGGTGCCACGTAGCCCCTGCACAACGCTCTTTGAGACACAGGTCTGTTCACAGGACAGGGTCCAATGGAGGTCTAACCGAGCTGCAAGGAGCGGACCAGGTGAGGGAGCCTGGTGAATGAGAACCCCCTCTGCAGCAGCGAAGGGCGTTTGCATACAGTAAGGATGACAGCTTGATGGGCGGCACCACAGGGCCGCAGGGAAAGATGCTACAGGTTCGAAGAGGAATGAAACCGTAGGCTTGTGTGATGCAATACAGAGCCACACACCTGGCACGCTGACCTAACACAAAGCGCGAGATCCATCAGAGGGGAAAGCGAGCAGAGTATGCGGCACGCCGGCCACGCCCGAGTCCTAAAGGGACTCAGCCCCACAGCGTCGCCCTGGAAGTGCCAGCAAGCCCATCGTTTTGCAGAGCGGGCTGGTCCGGTCCTCCCAACCACACACCTATGCCCGCACGCACACAGCCTGCAGTTGTAGACACACTGGGGGGACTGGCTGGTGCAATCTTAAGAGCAATTCCTCCTGCCAAGAGATCATCAGTCACTAAGCTGTATGAACATTTTATCGTTTAAGAAAAATCTGCATTAGGCCCTGGCTGGTGTAGCTCAGTGGGTCGAGCACAAGCCTGTGAACCAAAGGATCGCGGTTTGATTCCCAGTCAGGGCACATGCCTGGGTTGCGGGCCAGTTCCCAGCAGGGGACCCATGACAGGCAAACATACATTGATATTCCTCTCACTCTCTCCTTCCCTTCCCCTCTAAAGATAAATACATAAAGCCTTAAAAATATTTTCAAAAAAAGAAAAACAAAAATCCGAATTAAAAGTATGAAAAACAGGAGAAGAACAAATGCAGGCCTGCCTTTTAAAGGTGAAAGGGGGAAGAAAATCGGGCAAGCGCCCCCAGCCTGGCCTTAGGTGGTTCTGTGACTTCCCTCGCTCCCACCTGGTCTTTTGTCTTTTGAACTCAACAGCCCTAATGGAACCCTGCCTCGAGTCAATCACTCCCCGGGGCCCTGGAGACCCCAGGTGGGTAAATGACCCGGGAGGCACAGTCTAGAGAAGAACCAGTTATTTGCCGGTGATCTGAGCAGCCCCACTACTGTCCAGGGCCGGGGTCCAGTGAAATACACCACACGCGATGGGCCATCCAGGGCGTTATGCAAGCCCTAGTCATTCTACACCCTCAGGCCGCGTCCGGGCGGCCCCTTCACAGGGCTCATTCCACTGTTTCACAAATAGGAACATTTAGTCACGGCCCCTCCCAGCCCGGAGGGAAGCCGAGTTTACTGACAACTCTGGAACGGTGTCAGTCGTTGAAGCCCAGGTGTGAACAGCTGGTGCGACCAGGGGCTGGAGCCAGGTGACTGCGGGGGTGGGGCATTGGGGCGACGCTGGGGTGTGGGGGACAGCTTCCCAGCCCGGGCCCGCCCGCCCACCCAGCGCCGCTGACCTTGAGCGAGGCCAGGTGCACGATGTCCGGGCTGAGCTCCCGCAGGCAGTTGTCCGCCGCCGCCAGCTCGCTGAGCAGCGGCAGCGCGCCGGGGCGGAAGAGCTCGGCGGGGAAAGCGTCCAGCCGGTTGCCGGTGAGGTTGAGCGTCTGCAGGCGAGGGGCGCAGCGCGCCAGGTCCGCGGGCAGCTCTCGCAGCCGGTTGCCGCTGAGGTTGAGGCTCTGCAGCTGCGGCAGGCCCGGCGGCTCGGCGGGGCCCAGGCCCTGGCCCGGCGGCAGCGCCTCCAGCGCGTTGCCCGACAGGTCGAGCACGCGCAGCGCGGGCAGCGGGCCGAGCTGAGGGCTCAGGCCGGGCCCCAGCGCGTTGCGCCGCAGCACGAGGCTCTGCAGCTGCGGGAGGCCCTGCGCCAGGCCCGGGCCCGGCTCGCGCAGGCTCCCGCAGCCGCTCACCTCCAGGTAGTGCAGCAGCGACAGCGTGAAGAGCTGCGGCGGCAGCCGCCCGCCCGCCGCCCGCACGCGCTCCTCCAGCGCGGGCCCCGTCAGCAGCAGCTCCCGCCGCCGCTGCCGCTCCGCCTGCTCCAGCTCGGGCCAGGGTTCCGACACCGCCACCACCGCCGCCGCCGCCGCCATCGCACCGCCCTCGCCGCGCGGGCTTCCGGGGCTGGGCGCGTCACTTCCGGCGCGGGCCGGAAGAAGCGTGCGGACGCGGCCCTACCGGTCCTTGTGCGTCCTGCCCGCCACGCCCCTGCTCCGGCCCGCGGGCCCTGCCCAGGCTCAATGGGCCCAGTGTCTCCGCCCCAGGGTTTTGGGACGTCTCGCCGCCAGGCTGAGACTGCATAGTTTCACAGCAGCCCGCACCGGATCCCGCCCTGGTGTCCTTCGGCAGGGGAACGGACAGTAAACCGCGACACGTCCTTAAAGCAGACGAGCACCCCGGGGCTGAGAGCTGCGCGACGCTCCCTGGCGCGCGCGATGCCCAGGCCGTAAAAACAGCCGCACACACGAAGACTGTGAACGATTCCATTTGCACAGCCTGAACACCTGCCACACTCAAGGTCACGTGAATTGGGGAGCCGTTCACATGTGCTGAGTCTGAGGACAGCCGGATGGTGATACATTACTCCTGAAAAGCAAGGCCGAATTTACTGTCCTGCAAAGCAAGAGTGATTCGCTTTTCTGGAGGGAGCCCAACCAATGCCCCAAGCCAGCCTTGTGACACAGTGAGGGGTCAGCTTTTTAGGGCTGATGTCAGCTCACAAGCAACTGCGAACTCCCAACTCCCAGTGGCGATTTAATGGCACAGGCCTACTGCCCAGGTCTGGCCCGGGGCTGCAGTCAGATCCTGCATCTGCTCACGGGTCCTGAAGGTGAGGCCCTGGCTGAAGGGCCAGCCCTGCCTGGCGGCTGCTGTGCTCTGGCAATGCAGGGAAGGGACAGGATGGACCGACTGCCCAGAGCACACCAAGCACACAAGAAAACGAGGCCATCAGAGACGTGGGAGACAGGATATGGACGAGGCAGCTACCAGGACAGTACAGCCGCTGCTTCTAGGACCCTTTTAAAATCAAATACTGCCCTGGCTGGTGTAGCTCAATGGATTGAGCATGAGCACGGGCCCAAGAACCAGAGGATCGAGGTTTGATTCCCAGTCAGGGCACATGCCTGGGTTGCAAGCCAGTTCCCAGCAGGGGATGCACAAGAGACAACCACACATTGATACTCCTCCCCCTCTCTCCCTCCCTTCCCTTCTAAAGGTAAATAAAATCTTTTAAAAAATCTTCTAACTTCTGCAGCCACAGGCTCCCCTGTGCCCACCCCCCACTGACCCACCTGGGGTAAAATGTTGGAAGTAATTTTTGCTACTTTAAACTGTGAAGCTCTACGTTTCCAGTTAATCCCTACTTGTGTAGAGAAAAACACTACATTGTAACTTAAAATAGAAACAATTACCAAGGTTGATAAAAGCATAAAACCACTCTACAAATCTATGGATAAAGGGCTGCATATTTCCTTATTTTAAAAGCAAAAAAGCCCAGTGGGCCGGTAGAAACGTCCCCTTTCACGGGTGAGCATGCTGGGAGCCTCCACACGGACCCCCTCCCGGGCGCACAGCCGGCCGGGGCTTACAGAGCACTGGCCTTTGTCCACAGGGTTGGACTGGTCAGTCATCTTCCCTGATGCAGACGAAGCTTAGACTCTTTTGACTTCTTCAGCAGTAAATTCATTCTGACAGATTACTTATTTTAGGACCAATTATAACCTCAAAATAAAAATGACAAACATTGAGTGACCTTTTTATTATATTAATGTGTTCCAGGTGGATTAACTAAGTCCTGGAACAGCAATGAAAATATATTACTCAGAAATTTGTAACTCTGGTACCTGACCTGGAATAAACACAAATAGAAAACTATGTTAAAATAGCAAAAGTTGCAAATTTTCATCAAAAGGGTTTACAATTGTATTATAATGCCCATTTATAGATACAATCCTTTTAAATTAGATTGATAGAATATTCTGAAGTATGAAATAGAAAATAAATGTTGTTAAATACCCATAACATAGTCATGAAAAATTCAATTGTTAATTACCATCCCAAATTCAGACACTTAGTTATGACTGCATTTTCAGCCTCTAGTGTAGGTTCCTTAACAGTCAGTAACTCTGTGCAGCTTTGGCAGCCACCAGCCATCACCCTGGGTCACTCCACCACAAACTCGAGACTCTTTGGTAACCAGCAGGCTAACCAGTTTTAAATGCACCCAATTTTGCCAACCACTAAAAGCTAAGTATTTTTGCAAATATTTGTAAGTTAAAATATATGGAAAACATATGTACGCCTTAAAAGTTTTGATTGGAAAGATAAATCTCTTGGTTAACTTTTCTTGTTATTGTTCTGTTTTAAGGTGTTTTATCGGCACCTCAAAAATGGATTAGAAAACCAACGTGTCTGTTTTGCCAAAATGGGTTATTTTGTAATTATCTTGGCATCTGAGGCATCGGGTGGCGGCGCCCCGCCACAGGAGGAGGTGCAGAGGGCCAGCTGGCTGTGGTCTGGGCGGACTGGGCCCTGGGGCACACCGGCCGGGCAGGAAGAGGCTGGGTGTGGCCGAGTGTGCTGCCTGGGGAGGAGGCGGCAGGGGAACCACTTCTGCGGGTGGGGCTGGTCCGGAGCTGGCAGGAGACGGGATTCCGAGTTTGGTGTCGTCCTTGTGAGTGGCGTGTTGGCTTTCAGTATCATACAGTGTGTGAGAAAGGTGACCTCACAGCCCCAGCTCCACCGCGGTCCTCAGAGGGACAGGGAAGAGGTGGACATCAGACGTGAGTGCTGGAGGGGACCCGCTCTCGGGAGCTACTGTGTTTTTTAACTTTTATTTCTCGTCACAGAGGGAAACACGGGCTGTGCAGACAGATGCTGCCTGGGAGAGGTTCGAGCACGCGCTTGCTCTCCCATCCCGCTCCCCTGCCAGACCTTCCCCGCGGGAGGCCGGGGAAACCCATATGCGCAGGTCTCCCGCGCAGCCGGCATGGAAACCGGGTGCCCCCGCCACACGCCCTGCCCGGCGCCCCCTGGCAGCACAGGGCTCTGGGGCTGCCCGGGCCTAGGGCGTCGCGAGCCCTGCTTGTTTTCGGCTGTAACACGGAGGTCAGGTCCCAGCTCAGGAGGCCGCTTCTCTGGTCGTCCCCACAGGGTGCCAGGCGGGGACAGCAGGGCGGAGCACGTGCCGCCCCCTGCAGGTGGCTTCCAGGAGAGGTTCATGAGGGAGGTTTGCTCGATCCCCAGGTGGAGACAGAAGTCCGCCACATCATCGCTTCATGAAGGTCCTGCCGGAGCTCTTACTCAGGCCCCCCTTCGGGGTGGGGATCTTGCTTCCCACCTTCGGCCCAGAGCTCCCGGCCTTGGCCACGGCTGGGCCTCTGCCTGCGGAGGACACGGGCACGGAGAGCAGAGGCGCGAGTCAGGAGGGAGGCTGACACCGCCGCCGCCGAGGCTGGAGTGCAAAGCCGCAGGGATGGTGCGGGCGGCCAGGTGTCAGCAGACACCAGGGGCAGGGAGAGGGCAGGAGGGGAAGGGACACTCCAGTCACTCGGCTGCTGGAGCCAGCCTGCAGGGTGGGGTCAGGAGAGGACAGCGGTCACCCAGCCCGGAGGTGGCTGCAGACAGACAGACAGACAGACACACACACATGCACACGGACAGTGGAAGGGGAAGGAGACCTGGACTGTTTACCTGGGCCCACTTTCCACTCCGAACCCTTAGCTCTGGAAATGGGGAAGCCGCCTGCCCAGAGCCCCATCGCCTGGCTGAGTGGCCTCGCAGCGCCTCTGTGAGCCTCCTGTCCCTGGGGCGCAAGTGCGCACCCGCCCGCCCCCATGCCCGTCCTCTGCTCACGGCCCTTGCCTTTCTCACGCCCCTGAAGTAGGGGGCGCCCCGGGCTTTCTGGTCAGAACGTTTTCTTACAAGAAATACCACTTTCTGGGAAAGCATTCTCAGTCCGACATAAAGTCACTACTGAGGGCCCAGCGCCAGGACAGAAAGCCGCCAGCAAGCCGCCTCCTGGCTGCGGCAGCAGAGGACGAGACCGGGCGTGTCCTCACCCTGTGGGGGGGGCGGAGCCTTGTGCAGCACGTGCGTCCTGCGCAGGTTCATCGTGCAGCCCGCGGGGCCCATCAGGTGAGCTTTCCACGCCTGGAAGGAGAGGCAAAGGGGTGTCGGCGGGCCTTTCACAGCCCATGCTGCCGGCGGTTGAAGAGGCAGCTACACCGGCGGGAGGCCCCCGCCCCCCCCTCTGAGCGCTGTGGGGAGCGCACCGGACCCAGCCCTCCCGCCCTTGCTGGCACCTTGGCTCCCGCCCCAACGCAGCAGACTGGCCGCCTGCAGCTGTGCAGGCGGGTGACGAGGCTCGGGGAGCACAGGGGGCGGGTGCTTGGTGGCCTCTAGATGCTGAGGGTGGCCCCAGCTGACAGCCAGCAAGAAAACGGGGGCTCAGTCCCAGGATGATGAGAAGTCTGCCGCCCCCGGGAAGGAGCTTGGGGCCCACAGGGGAGACCTTGGCCCCAGGCGCCCTGCCGCCTCTAGGAGGTGGGCAGAGCAGGGCCAGCCACTCAATGTGGTCCCCGAGGACGCCTCACTTCAGACCTGGAGACCAGCCACATGTTCCACCCAGCCGTGGAACTTAATTTTTCAGAGCACTTAGAGTTGGACAGGAAATGACGCAGGTGAACCCAAATGTGTTTTGAGCTGGTGGCAGCGACTGCAGTGCAGCCGCGCGGCTCCACACCACCGGGGGGCGCACTCCTCATCCCGTGGTGGAGAGAGCAGGTGCAGGCGGCACACGCAACCAGCCTTGGCGCTGGGCCTCCCTGGGCCGCGGGAGCACGCACTCTGACCCCGAGGTCACAGCCTGCGACCACTTCAGTGGCCGTCTGTGCGTGAGGTGACGTGCCATCTGGGAGGGGCACCGGGTGAGGGTGGGTGACTGGTGTTCAGGAGGCAGTGGAACCTGATGGGAACCCGAGGTGTCCTTTGCTGTGTCCTGTTATGTTTTGGACATTTTCTGGGAGGACGAGTGGACAGGTAAAGGGCCGACAGGAAGCTGCAGGGCAGGGCTGGTCTCCACAGCCCTGCTGGCACCTTGTCCCTGGGCGGGGACAGGGGGGCTGGGCAGTGGGGGGGGCTGGGAGGCGGGGGCTCAGCAGGCTGGAGTGGAAGCAACTGGGCCAAGGTGGGTCCCAGCCCCTGCTGCTGGGCACACAGCAGGCAGCTCCGCCAGCCCCAGAGGAGCAGGGCAGGGGAAGGAGGCAGAATTTTCAAACTGGGTGGGGCCCACTCTCATTAATCAGGAGGGACCAGAGAGCGCAGCATGTGGCTGAGGTGCCAGCTGCGGCCCGACACCTGGAGCACAGCCAGGCCTGGGAGACCGGGTCCCACTGCACCCGTCCGCGAGGCTATCGAGGGGGCCGTGCAGGGATGGGCGGATGGGCCGCAAGGGGCCCAGCCGAGAGGGCGCCAGCAGGCCGGGCGCTCACCTCCTCTCCAGGCGCGAAGTTCTCGTGGCACAGAGGGCACCGGTTGGCCAGCTTCTCCGGTTTGGCAGCTGCAACGGTGTCAGTTAGGCAAGACTCAGTCACTTCCACAGGGCTTAGGTGGGGGGCAGAGAAGCAGGAGGTGCCCAGCAAGGCCCGCAGACCCTTGGCCTGCCAGCCTCCTGCCTGGGGCCTTCCCTGGGGCGGGCCTGGGGACTCACGGTGGCAGTCCTTCATCCTGAGGTGTCTGGGCAGCTCTTCCCTCAGCACAGCCTCGCTGCAGCGGAAACACCTGCCAAACCCGTCCTTGCTGTCACACTCCGTCAGCAGGTGCTCCGTCAAGCTGGAGATCTCCACCACCTGGCTCCGAGACACAGGGCAGAGCTGCCGTCGGGACTCGGGCGGGGGCCCCGGGCCCCCCCGCCCCCCCCCCCCGCACAGGTTCCTGTCAGGCGTATAAACAATGAAGACCAGTGAGGGAAAAAAAAATTGGCAACTGACTTAAAAATAGGCAAGAGACAGGACGGTGCCTCATGGAAGAGGTGGTCAGGTGGCCCAGAGGCCGCTGGGCAGGAGCCCAGCACTGCGACAGCGGGGGCCTCGTGCCCCACAGCGCAGCCGCTCCGGCCGAAGACAGGCCCGTGCCCGGTGGGAGGGTGGGTGTGCGGCCCTTGGAACGCGTGTCCGTGTGCACAGCGGCCGAGCACGGCACGCCCAGCGGTCCATGCCTAGGTGCGCACCGCGGCTGCGTCCTGCACGGAGAGTCCAGGCAGCGGTCTCCAACCACGCACGACTGAGTCCCCTGGACAGGAGGACGGCGGTGCGTCGTGACAAAGGAGCAGACGACATGAGACAGTCGTGGGGCGTGCGCCCCATCGACATGGAACTCAGAATGAAGCAGCTCCGACTCGCGGTGTTGGCAGTCAAGGCCGTGCGACTCCAGACTCCGAGGCCTCCTGGGCCGGCCTGGGGTCACCACGCAGGCCCCTACTCTGCGATGGCTCTCAGAGCCGTGACCCTTGTGACATGTGCGCATTTGTAGACACGTGACACTCCAACAGCGGAGCAGCCGCAGCCCCAGACGAGAGGGGAGACGGACCCCCGCTGCGCGCCCTGACCTGTCTGCAGTGCTCACAGCGCGTCAGCATGAGGCAGCGCTTCCAGTAGTGCAGGTCCAGCCCCTCCTCCGTGAAGGCCTCGCTCCGCTCCCCACAGAAGATGCACAGGCTGCGGGCGGGACAGTGCGCGTGACGGCCCGCGGCTTCACGCCCCTCCCTCCGCGGGCGCCCCCCTCATCACCGCCAGGGGAAGGCCCGTCACTCACTAGTCCAGGTGGTGACTCTCTGGAGCCCCCGGGGCACAGGGCGGGGCCGCTTCTCTTCTGTGAGCGACTGGAGAGAGGGAGGAGGAAGCGCCCTCAGGAGCTGCTTGCAAGACCCTTCCCAAGGGTTTCGTGACTTCGTTTAAGTCAGTAACGTTTGATGTGAAACGTATTGAAAAAATACATTAGTAGCCCTGGCTGGTGTGGCTCAGTGGATAGAGCACTGGCCTGCAAGCCAAAGGGTCACTGGTTCAATTCCCAGTCAGGACACTGGCCTGAGTTGCTGGCCAGGTCCCCACTAGGGGGCACTGGAGAGGCAACCACACACTGATGTTTCTCTTTCTCTTTCTCCCTCCCTTCCCCTCTGTCTAAAAATGGACAAAACCTTTTAAAAAACACAAGTGAATAAAGACGGAAGTGTTCACAATCTGCCCCCGACGTCTGAGACACAGCAGGGGAGCCACACCCCCGAGGGGACAGTGGTGGCTTCACAGGCACCTCCCCCGTGTGTGTCTTACGCACCCGGAGCCTCTGCCTCGGCAGCCTCGCTGTCTTGCTCCTAGGACACAAAACCGAAGGGTCAGGACAGACGGCGCAGAGTGCGAGTGGGGGTCTGTCCCTGGGTCAGCCCCTTCAACAGTGCGCACACCGAGGGGCGTCACCCTGCGGTGTTGGCAGGCTCCCTCCCTCCTGGCCCTGGTCCCTCGCCCCACGGACGCACATGTCGAGGTCACCACCCCTCCACGCTGCTCGCCCACCGCCAGTGCCCACCCGCACCGGGGGCTCCCAGCAGCACACCACCCCTCGGCCTCCCCCGAGCCCCAGGGCAGCTGCCCCTCCGCCATCTCCCTGTCCCAGGGCGCACCCCACAGGCCAGGCGTGGGGCTGCCTCCGCCCGGCCCGCTGCCCACTCAGCCTCTCCACTGGGGTCTTCAGGTGGCCGTCAGCCTCATCTCCGCAGACAGCCCCCTCCCCCCTCACACCTGCCCTCACTGGTCCACTGTAGGTTAGGGCTGTCCTCCCCACCGTCCCACAGAACGCCCTCGGACCCATCACAAACGGCATGGGCTGGCTGTCGCCCTTCACTCCTCACTGCTCCTCTCAAAGGCGGCCCTGGTTCCGCTCCTAACTGAGGCCCGAGGCCGGGGGCCTTCCTTCTGCTCAGAAACCCCGTCGGCCTCGTGGGCCACTCTCTCGAGCCCTTTCACACCCACACGCCTCCCATGCCCCTGCCATGCTGGCACCCTGGCGACACCCCTGTCCCCTCCTCCATGCCCTCCAGGCCCCCGTCAGCACCCTCTCTGGTTTCTTTTCCTCCTGCGCATGCACCACACTGTCACACTGACTCCTCGTTTACTGTGGGCAGTGAAGGTCCGGGAGGGCAGCGTTCCTGTCCATCTGGGCACTGGTGCGTCCTCAGCGCCGGTAACAGCGCCCGGCACATGCTTGTGACTAAGTGATTCGGGTGCCACGGAGACCTGTGTGGCTCCTGGCCAGCACTTGCTACTCGCGTGTCCCTGTACCTTCTCTCCTGCGCACAGGTGCACTCGGACCCAGGCGGAGTGGGCAGAGAACATCAGTCACGGCAGCAGTTTTCCCGGCCGCAGCCCAGGAGGAACCGGTGGCCCGGGGGAGGCTCTGCCTGCCGTGGCCCAGCCGCCTCCCGGCTGCTCCCTCCCCTGCCCTCAAACTCGGGGAAACGCCGCACCTTCCCAGCCGCTCGGCCAGTGGAGAGCTGCGCCTGTGCCAAGCCGGCACCGCCTCAGGGACTGGCCGCCCAGCCAGGGGCTGAGGGGCTGCTGGGACGTGCAGTTTCCATGGGACGCTGGTCACCCTGCACCCAGCATTTACGTGACGAGTCAACAGCATGAATGCTGGCCACCATGACACATTTGTGGGCAGTGGGGTTTCATGTGCCGGTGAGTAACCATGCCAGAGAAAACACGCACAAGAGCAGAACTTCGGACCTGGGGAGGAGTGTAAGGGGCTAACACCACACTGCCACACAGGGCTCAGTGAGCACCTGGAGACAGCAGATGGCACCCCACCCCTCGTGACTCCCCATGCCCTGGACACTGTGGTAGCAGCTCCTCGAGGGCCGGGCCGCACAGCCAGAGCCCAGCCCTGTGCTGGCACAAGGCAGGCGCTCAGCAAACACTGGCTGCGTTCAGAGGCAGCGGTGAAGGCGCTCGAGGAGTGTGGACGAGGTCCCGGGCACAGCCACCAGGGCCTCTGTGGGGACAGCGGGTCCCTGAGGCCTGGTGGCAGCCGGAGTAAGAAAGAGGTTTGGCCGCAGGGCTTAAGAAGTGATGAGCTCATGACCCAGGACAAGCCACTTAGCCTCCTGGCCGTGAACCGTTAGGGACAGTCATGAACATTTGCTAGGCCTACGTCAGCAGGTTGCTGGCAGACTCTGTGCCTGAGAGTCTCACTGTCCTGAGATTCGCCACCCCCACCGGGTCCACTCTCTCCCTCCTCTGGCCCCACCCCAAAGGGGCGCTTCCTCCTTCCCTGTCCGTCACTCTGGCGCCCTCGCCGATCTGTGAGTGCGGCTTTCCAGGCACCCAGCGCATACACAGCCACGTGTTCACCCCTGCTCTCCATTCTTCCCCGTTCTCTTCTTAAAGAGGAAATGATCGCGACACTTCACCGGCAACCTGGCCACCTAGAGGACTTCTGGGTGCGCAGTCGGGTGGCAGCCCCAGGCACAGCAGACGCCCTGCTCCCCCGCCCTTTTCCTCTCTGTCTGAAAGAAACCCTCTCCCCCCTTCAGGGAGGGAATCACGAAAATCGGCATCTGCAGTAACTGCGGTCCCAGGAGCCGCTGCTGTCCCACTGTGCGCACATCTCCTCAGGCGCAGGGCTGGGGGCTTCTCTGGGTGGACTGATTGCCTGAGACCTCGCCCTTTTAACGCTTGGAATCCAGATCTTTGACTCAAGTTCGTTTTCCCCATCTGCCCCCGAAGGGACTGGGGAGCTGCAGCGAGGACAGGGTCCCTCCACCCTGTCTGTCACCCCTGCGCCCCAGAGATTGCTCTCAGCGTTCGCAGTAGCGGGACATGGAGAGCAAGCCAACGAGCGAAGGGGGACTCCTTCCAAAACAAGTTTAAAAACGGATAAAGAACAGAAACACCCATCTGCGTAATGGGTGAACACCAAGCACCCCGTGCTGTGTGTCTACATGATGAAGTCCAGTCACGGGATTCCAACCCAAAGCCCAGGATGCCTCCCTGTGGACCCCGCCCACCTGCACTTGGGCCCCACCTGACCCCACCCACCTGGACTTCAGCCTGCATTTCTTTCAGTGCTGCCAACTGCCCCTGTAAGACTTTAATTTCTTCTTTCTTTCGCTTTTCTGCTTCTTCTGTAGCCGCTTTTTTCTGCGCCTGGCATGAGATTGTCATTCTGTTAGAACAGCTCTCTGGGACAGTCTGAGAGACTGGGGACACAGGACACATGCATTTCTTGTGCACTGTGAGGGTCACCAAGGCTTGTCACGTGATGAGGGTGCAATGCAACCTCACGGCTTCTTTAATGAGTGTTTTGGACACAGAAGGGTTGGGAAGTGTCCTCACCCTGCCACCCACTGGCCCCAGGGGCCCGTCGCTCGAGGTGGGCTCTCTGCTGCCCACGCCACTCCTCGGCCCCTGGGCCTGTTCCCGCAGACCACTTCGTCAACGCAGGACTGCACCGCAGCCTCTCGAGAGGGGACCTACCCTGATCTCGGCAGCGGCAGGCCTGCCATCGATTCTTGCGAAACCCTCAAAGACGGTCTTGTAGAGCACGTTCCTGCGCGCGGTGCTGTCTTCCGGGGGGAGGTAGTCCAGGACGAGGGCCCGGTGCTGCCGGTACATGTCCAGGACGACCCGCACTGCCGCCTCTCGGACCTCGTACACCCGGTGCTCCAGGGCGCACACTGCGAACTGGACACGGCGCGGGGAGGGCGCCTGCTGTTACTGCTTCTCAAAGAAACGGGGTTATTTTGTCTAGCACGGAAGGGCTGGAGGCACAAACATGAAAGCTGGAGAAGAAGCAACCAGCACAGAACCGCAGCTACTGGACACGCCCCCCTCCTCTGGTGGATGACCCCACACACGCGCACGGGGGCAGCTGGGCTGGATGTGGAGGGTGCGTTCTGCTTTTTTCCGCTCACTGCATTCCTACGCTGTTGGGGTCGTGCCCTCCCACTCACGGTCAGTGCTCTGAACGGCCTCAAACACAGAGGGGGGGACACGGACCCGCCTCTGCGCACCCACCACCTAGGATAGCCAGTGCTACAACCGCGCCTTGTCCTGTCTCCGTTCTTACGATGAAATGCTGGCCACCCTGTGGCCCCCACATCTGTCTCCAGGCGACGGGTGGGCTCTCCTGGAGCCGGCTGGCACGCGAGCACACCCTGTCCCCCGTGCCTGCCTCTGCTATGCAGCGTGCACACGCGCCCTAGGTGTATGCACAGGTGCCGTGCTGTGCGCATTAGCTGGAACTTCCTTTTGTCCTCAATACAACATTTTCAAGTTTCGTGCATTTTAACCGCTTTGTGGCATTCTGTCCCACAAATGTGTCCCATGTCTGGTCCCATCTCAGGCTGCTGTCACACGCTTGGGAAGGGGCTTGTGGGCACCTGACCTCTCTCCTCCGGGCCTCCTCACTTCCACGGTCTCCGCCTGCCATGCACCCCGGGGCGACACCGCCAGGCGCCGCACACCTCCAGGAGCACTGGCCCACGGTCCCACCCGAGTCTGCTACCTCCCAGCTCTCTGGCTCACTTCCCTGTACCTCCTCCCTGATGACCCCTTAGTCCCTCCCCACCACCCGCTCCTTCTTCTCTGCATGTCCTCTCCCTCCAGTCTCTGCTGCTCTGCGTGTCCTGCCTGAAGGGCAGTCAACCCACCAGGCGGCAAGAGGTGGTGTCCACGCAACTGCAAGACCGGGACCCCTGTTCCTGCTGTCCCCGGGCGAAGGGGAAGGAGGGGGCAGACGTGAGAGGCACGCCAGCCGGCTCCATGCTGGACTCAGACCGAGACCACGGGTCCTCTGCGCTGCGCAGAGAGGTGCCCCACAGGGCCGCCTCCCGGGTGTGCTGCGGACACCTCACCCCCTCACCTCCGCCCCTGAGCTCGGCTTCGAGCTGAAGCCTCCGGTGAAGACGGTGACCAGCGCTGCTGCCCTGAGCCGACGCCCGATGTCACTGAGGTTATCGCCCTGCCCCTGGCTTGCTTTTACTCGTCGCTTCTCCCTTCCCACGTCTGGGCCAACCCCCAGCATCTGGCTGCCAGGACAGGGCCCTGCGCTCAACCCAGCAGCTGCCTGCCCCTCCCCGGGCACAGCCACTCCACACGCCGGGCCCCTGGGGATGGCTGCACCGCCCGGCCAGTCCAAGTGAGGGCTGGCCGCCACCTCCCACACCCGGCCCTCTAGTCTCCGTCCTCGACGGGGTCAGGTCGAATGCTGCTTTTCCCAAGGTCGCTCAATTAGTGTCCACTCGACGAACACGGACCCGCCCCTCACCCGCCCCAGGTGCCCTCACCTTCATCACGCTGTCCACCGTGAAGCCCGAGCCGTCGGTGCCCAGGTCTTTCAGCAGCCGGGCCAGCAGGTCCAGCTGACTCAGGGCCAGGTGGGCCGAGGCGTTGGCCTTCAGGGGCTGCACCAGGTAAGACGGGATCACCTGGAGAGCCTTCACTTCCTTAAACAGGGCCACCTCCTGCAAAGGCCGACGTGCGCATAACTCCCGAGTAGAGGAGAGCGCCACACGTGCTCTGTCTCACGTGTCCCCCAAGTCGGCTCTGACGGGAGACACGGGCGGCAACCAGCGAAAACAAACGAAACAGAGCTGCGACCTCCCGGAGGCTGACGAGAGCCATCAGAGAGCACGGCCAGTCCCAGCTGCTGTGGACTGAGCGCAGGCCTGTGAACCGAGAGGCCGCTGGTTCGATTCCAGCCGAGAGGCCGCTGGTCAGGGCACGCGCCTGGGTTGTGGGCCGGTCCCCAGTGGTGGGTGTGCAAGAGGCGACCGGTTACCATCGATGGTCTTCTCCCTACCCTCCCGTCTCTAAATGTAAATTAAAAAATCCCAAGGGAAAAACCACGGTCGAAGACTTAGGGACGGTCCTTTCATGATTTCCCAACCTCAAGAAAACAGTTTTCTAAACACTAGAGAACCAACTGTGCCTGTCTGTTGAAGTTCACGTCGAAGGTGGAACGTAGATTTTAGAGGCCAAGGCGAGAGGCACTCAGGAAGGATGAGCGGGTGCCCCGGGCAGACCCCGGCCCTGCCGAGTGCGTGCGGCCCGGCGTCGACAAGCCTGCACCCACCAGGACTGAGCCGGGCCAGGAAGGTCCTACCTGAATGAAGTTCGAAGCCACAGCCCGCAGACGAGCAGACGAGTCCCCGGTTCTCGCGAGCAGAACGGGGATGGTTCTCTCCACACAGTGCGTTGTCTCGAGTTTGCTCAGTCTGTGCTTAGGGATGTACTGGGTGATGATCATCTTCAGCAGCTTCAGAGCGGCCTGGAAGACCTGGGCGGGGCGACGGAGGCGGACGGCTGCCGGGACGCCCCGCAGACGGCCGCCTGCTCTCTGCAGGGCCCCAGCGGCAAGCCGCACGCCCCCTCCTGGCAGAGGCCGGGCAGCCCGTGAACGTGGGCCGGTGCCAGTGTGGGCGCTCACCCCGCAGCCCTGCCACAGGGAGGACACCAAGCGGCGCCTCCCGAAGCCTCAGTCTAGGACAAAGAGTCAAGGAAAAACTAAAGCGACGGGTCTGGAGGAGTCGCAGGGAGCAGGCCCCGGTGGCCCGGCGCTGAGGAGCACGATGCAGTGGGGGTGGCTCACGACCAGCAAGACCAGCCCAGCCGCCCCGATACCCCCCCCATGGCATTTCTAGAACCTTCACTCCCAGGGACAGTGAGGTGGGAGTGGACGAGGATTCCGGTGCCCAGGCGGCCTCCTGGCTCCTGTGAGTCCTGGGGAGGCACAGGGCTTTGCACAGGGACCCTGGGCGAAGGGACTCACCGGGGTCACCATGTCTTGGATGGCTCTCCTGACCAGGAAGGTGGCTGCCCGCAGCACACTCCTCAGCTCCTCCTTCGGGGTGTCCCCCGGCATGTCCGTCAGCTGCTCGTGCAGGACACGCAGCGCGTCCTCACGGTGCGACCACGTTTTGGAATAGGCCCCGGCCACCTGTCGACCAGAGTCCGCTCCCTCAGTGGGCAGGTCGGCAACACCACCACCACCGTGGAAAAGATCTCCAGTGCCAGGACCTCTCATGATAAGTGCGTGTGCTCAGAGAATCGCTTCTGACTTGGAAACCCTAAGGCTACGCAGAGCCACCCACAGGGGACGGCTCCCCGGGGCAGAGCTGCTGCCATGCTGGGGGCTGGGGCCACGCCTGGGCTGGCGGGACGATAGACTCCCCGTCTTGTTCTGATTCACCAGCACCACCCCGGAACAGGCTGGTGTGCACGGGGGCCGGAGGGGCCTGTCTCGGATGGACACTCTGTGGAAGGCTTACGTTCAAGCTTATGTTGCTCAGAGTTAGGAACGAGCTGAGACTTCCCAGGTGGCTCATGAGGACAAAGCACAGTCACCGTCACACACGGGGCTCCCCCTCAGCCCTCCCCTCCGCCCAGCCACGGGAGAATGTGGACAGGTCACTGAGAGTGTGCTGTGGGCATGCCCTTACGCCCTTGGACCCCAGCCCCTGTGCACGGGTGCAGGAGCTGAACAGCGAGGGGGCTGCTGGGGCACGGTGGGCTCATGGGCAACGCAGTGCCAAGGAGGGCTCTGCGGAGACCCTGGACCCAGGACAGACAGGCAGGTCCTGAGCCCATGAAACCTGGGACGTCGCTGGGGACAACGCAGGAAGCTGGGGCTGCCCTGCTTCCAGAGGCCCTGAGAGGCCGGGCTCCTTGAAGAGGAGGATGGTGCTGGGAAGGGGCCCGAACCCCAGGCGGATGGAGCCCCTCACAGGACCACAGGCGGCAGTCAGCCGGCTGAGCAGGGCCGCGAGGACAGGGTGCTGTGGACGCCACTCAGCCATGGGGCGGCGGGGGTCGGAGCCCAGCAACGGCGCGTGCCACTCACACGTACAGGCACCACTTACCAAGGTCTCCCCCAGCACCTCGATGGCGGAGCTGGCCTCCCGCAGCGCCTTCTCCGTCAGGGGCTCCGGTGCGCCCAGCACTCCCCCTCTGGGCGCCTCGCTGGCGTCCACGTCGCTCTTGTCCGGCTCCGTGGCGGCTGCTGCGGGCAGCTTGCGGACCGCGGGAAGCGGCCGCTCGTCGTAGGGCTCGTGCTGCGGGAGGGCAAGGGGCTGCCGGGCTCCGTGCGGACACCGGCCGACGGAGGGCGCCTGCCGAACACCAGTGCTGCCCGGTGAGCGCAGGGCGGAGGAGGTGCCCTCGGGCCCCCATGGCTCTCGGACCCCCTCGCAGCCTCACGCAGCAGTGGCGGTGCTTCCACGCACCGCCCGCATCCGGCCCCGTGTGGGACCTCGTCACTAAAGCAAGAACTGGTACGTTTTCTCGGACAAGATCTCTGCTGTTCCCTCGGTGCACGGCCAGCACCACCCCTGCGGAGGTGGCCGTCTCCCCGAACCCAAGACTCTGGCAGACGCTGCCTGAGCCCCCCCGAGTCCCCGGGCCGGTGCCCCACGGGGAGCCCTGTGCGGCAGGGACATGCCCTCCTGGCTGACCTGGTCCCGGGGACGGGCACACAGACAAGTGAAGGGGAAGCCAACTTTCAGTAACTGAGTGACAACAAAACCAAAGGGCGTCCCCAGGGTCCCTTGCTGAGGTGGGGCTCAGGGTGGCACAGGCCAGGCCAGCCTGCCCTCCTCACTACTCCTGGAGGTCACAGAGAGTGTGTATGGTGAGGGACGCTCCTTGCCCTGAGATTTGCTCTCAGACGTGACGTGTGACACGTCTGACGGCGAAACATCGAACACGACGGACAGTGAAACCGTGACGGGGTGGGCCTGGTGGGGACCATGGGGACACGCAGGTGGGGCACTGGGGTCCTCCTGCTTCCCCAGGCCTGTGGCTGTGCAAGACACCTGGCGCCCCCCATCCTCCCAGAGCCGTGGGCCATGTGGTCACACGTGTCAGCAGAGGCACCAGGAGGAAGGTCCACACAGCCAGTCACACGGTCCCCCGGTCCTTGTCCTCGCTGCAGAGGCTGCACGTGGCGGAGGCTGACGTAACCAGGTGGACGTGGGGACTCTGTTCCAAGGGCGTGTGCTCTCCCCTCGGATGGTGCTGGGCCCACAGCTGAGGCTGGGCCCAGGTGACAGGGAAGGCGAGGGCAGAGGGAGCCAGGCTCTGAGCCCTGGTGGGGTCACGAACCAGCCCCGGGGCCTCAAGCTCCTGGCACGGAGGCAGCTCCCCCCGTCTCCCGGCTGGGGTGGTGGTCACAGTGTGGCGCCCGTGCGGACCGGTGCCGGGGTGGTCCCCGTGCAAGCCCTGTCCCCGCTCTCCCGCCAGCAGGCCCTCCGCAGACGTCTGGGCTCTCACACGCAGACTGGCAGAAGCCCACGAGACGCCCCAGGGGACCGGCAGCAGCAGGCGGAGGCCCAGCCTGTCGGGCTGAGGACGCGACCCCCAGCGAGCTGTGACTGCGTGCAGGTCACCTGCGTCACTGCGTTCTGGCTCAGACCTGCCCGTCCTGGAAGCAGGACAGGATGGGCCTGGCTGTTTTGTATCCTCACACTCCCTGCACTGGGACAGCGCCTGGCACGAGGCAGGGGCTCACACGTGTCTGCGGAACAAGCCACACGCGACCCGCGCTACCTACGTGGGCCTTCAGGCGACGGTGTGTGGCGGGCAGGGATGGCGGGTCCGCGGTGCAGGGCTGGGGAGAGGCGTCCAGGGAGTGCGCCGAGGGCTTTTCCTGAAGGAGGGGTACCGCGAGCTGGTTCTCTGCCCCCCTTTCTTCTGGTGGAGATGGTGGCAGCACGGGTGGTTGGCGGCGGGGACTTCCAGGACGCGCGAGGGGCTGCGGCGGCAAGTTGAAAGGCCTCTTCATCTGGGGACAAAGGGACGTTTCCTTCCCGAGGCCACCGGCCCCCAGACCCCCCGGAGCCCTCATGCAGGGAGGCCGAGTGGCTGTCTGCACCGCCACCGCCTGCACCGCCCAGTGGCACACAGGCGGACCCCAGCGCGGCCGCACACGCTCACGCAGGGTCAGCTCAGTCGGGGGCGGGGTTGGAGGACGGTGCTCGGTGTCTGCAGACAGAGTCCCCGCGTCATCACAACAAGCCCTGGGCGCGGTGACAGAGTACCTCACTGGTGCCCACCACGGCCCCTGGTGAATGTGACGGGGACACTGAGGTGCAGGGTGGGGAAGGAATGAGCGGTCACTCAGCTAGAGGGGGGTGGCAGTACAGCCCCAGTCCACTCTCTCTGTCCCCCAGGTCGGGCTCCGCCCAGGCCTGCGGCTCTGTAACTCAGGCGCACACAGCTGCCCGTGGGGGGGTCCTGGGCCAGGACAGTGCCGCCAGCCCAGGGCTGCGGTTGCTCTCCCACACGTCCCCCGGGGACACGTGGAGCCGGGCTGCCGGCAACTCGTCCTCACAAATGAGAAAACATGGGGGGAGTGAGGTCCCCTGGCCCTGCCCCGGCCCCTTTCTGCTCCACTGTGCGTCCTGCCGGTGCCCGGTGAGGCTGTGGCCACCCGAAGCAGGCACACGAGAGCCGATGTCGCCGAGCACTGCACGCCCATCAGGTTTTGCAGAGCAGCGGCCGGCTCTGAGGCCGGCGCAGTGACCCCCTCCCCAGCGCGAGCGTGCCTACCGGCTCGGCGTCCACCAGGCTGTGCAGCTCCAGCTGTGCGTAGGCCCGGCTGCGGTACTGCTCCATCTGCCGCTTCTTGTGCTTGGCCAGGTCGTAGTCCTCCTTCTCCACGGCGCAGCGCTTCTCCACCTCGTACCGCCCCAGCCGCTCCCCGACCTGCAGCACAGAGCGCACTGTCCCTCCCACGCAGACGGCGGCCACCGTCAGCCGTAACCACGGTGGTGCTGGGCCCCTGCGTGTCCTGTGGCGACAGGAGCTCCAGGACAGTGGGAGGCATGACCACACTCCCCGCAGAGGGCATGCTGCCCGTGGCTGCACCAGCATCTGAGAAATGCCGTGAGTTCCCAATGGTGCTCACACCTCTGGCGTCCCCCACCCGGCTTCTGGGCGGTGCCTGCAGAGGGCCGCACGGGCGTCATGTACAGGGCCGTGTGGGCACGCGCCAGCCAGGACGCTCCCCCAGTCGCTGGTGCGCACCAGTGCAGCCCCGAGTGACCCATTCACTGCCTCCCCTTGTCCGCCACCACGGCCCACTGCCACGGGGGTGAGGGGAGGAGCCGTCCTGGGACGCGCACCTTCTGCAGGTCGGCGATGGCCTGCTTCAGCCTCTTGGCCAGGTCGTACCGCTCCTGCTGGACAGCTTCGCGCTTCCGCTCGTCCAGCCTGCGGATGATCTGTGCCACCTCCGGGTCCTGGTACATGTCGAACGCGAGGTCGTCCAGCGGGGAGATGTAGTCGGACTTCCTACAGGAGAGGACCGAGCGAGAGAGAGCTGGGGCCCACTACAGGGGACCGCGGGGAGGGGCCCTGTGGGCACGGTGCTGATGGCACAGTTGGCACCAGTCCCTGTCCGGGAATTGGCATGGCTTCAGGTCGCCTGGCCACTCAGGGGCATCAGGCCGCAAAGCCCACGCTCTGGCCCTGACTCAGCGGCACATGCCAGGCTCTGCCCTGGGCCCAGGGGACAGGACAGTGGGTGGTGACTCGGACACTGGCCCGCAGTGTCCCTGGTATCATGGATGAGATACGAGACAAATTCACACGAACTACCGAGTCCTGGGGAGGAAAAGGGATGGTGTGGCTTCTCTCTCAAGAGTGTCCTGACCCTTTCCCTGACAGATTTTTATTGGCTTCCAGTTTGCACAGGACTGCAGGTACAGTGCATCCACCACCCTCAGGCAGGGAGGATCAGATGACAGACAGCACACAAAGAACTACAGGGCCTATTCTGAGCCAGGGTCTGTTAGCTAAAGGGCTACAAAACTTTGGGAAACAAACTCATTTCCTGCTTGGACCCTTATCATTTAATTGAGAGGATTCTAAAAAAGGAGGTTTCACAGGGTTTTATGTATTCTTTCTTAATCCTGGTCACTGGGGGAACCCGCCCTTTCCAGCACAGGGCTGCACGGCCCTCTGTCATTGTTTCAGGCTTAAGTCAGGCAGGGAAGTGAGGCAGCCAAGAGATTGGAAGACTTCTTGCAGACAGAATGAGGACTCAGGCTGTGTCAAAGCCAAGGGGTAAGTGTCCATCACCCCCTTTTGCTATAGCCCCCCAAGTCCTTCCCTGGGGCCTCCACATGACCATGCCTGTCTTAGGTCGTCCCTCCCTTGAGGAATCTTACCCATCATTGGCTAACAGACCAAGCACTGGGGGCCAGGCAGGGTGAAGTAGAAGGAGCAGAGGCAGCACCCCTGCCAGGGAGAGAAGTTTTGTCTCCTCAGTGGCTTATGATGCGAAGGTCACTCACTCAGCCTTAGACATGGGGGGATGGGTTACAGCTCCTGAAACCAGGCAGGCAGGGCAGCTCCCAACAGCGTGGGAGTCGGTGTGGACGGGAGGAAACCAGCGCCAGAGCACACACAGACCAGGCCCCACCTCTGCGCCATGAGGGTGGTACGCAGGGGGCAGGCGTCTGGCTGTACGCCAGCGCCACGGTGACAGACGGATGTCGGTGACCGATGGTTGCTTCTGCAGGGCCACCGCCTAAGGTGTCGAACACCGTCTACAGCCATCGGGCCCTGCAGGGAATAAGAAGACCCCTCCCAGGAAGACGCAGTCCCTCCAGTCACCTGAACAGCCCACTTCTGAGGGTCACCTCCTGTCTCTCTCCCCTGTGGGCCCAATGGGAGCAAAGACGATGCCAGTCTAGCAACCCGGCCAAACGCTGTCCGAGGACAGGTTTCCAAGCCTCCCTCTGCTGTCGGGGACAGGACATGCACCGCCGTCAGCGCTGGTTTGGGTCTTTACAACCAGGTGTCCCACCCGCAGCCCGAGCGTGACCCAGGACGGCCGTGAGTGTGGCCAACACGAAACTGCACCCACTGGGAGCACCGAGGCTGCCTGTGATTGCGGGTCGCACTGTATTTAACGTGCAGCCCGAGGCAACTCTTCTCCCAGCCTGGCCCGGGGCTGCTGAAGGCACCTCTGCTTCAGTAACATGCTACTTGTCACAAGGAAACTGGCTGGCAAGCGCATACGATAACGAACTCCCATAGGACACAGGGCGACGCCACCTTCCGAGCGACGCGCTCCACCCCTGCTCCCTCTCCTGGGACCCGGGGCCTTTGCAGCTCCGAGCAGGGCAGGGGGCCCGGTGACATGCTCCACTGCATCTGCAAGGCCATGTGACTATTTTTATGAAAACACAGGACACGTGCTCCAGTCTCAGGCAGTCTGCCTTGAAGACCCAGGGACGAAAGCAGTGACTTCCTCGTAAAAGCCCCACGAGGAGAAAGGATGGCTCATGACGCCCGTGCCGGAACTCTGTGGCACCAGAGGGACGCAGGGCAGCTGCTCCAGTCTCTGCAGAGCGTCCCGTTGCGGTGTGATGGATGGCACGTCCCGGGACTGGTGCCCGCAGCGCCCACCTGGCCTTTCAAGGCCCCTTGACCTTCCAGAGGCCCTTCAGGAGGAGGCAGGGCTGGCTCAGTGCGGTCCGACACACCGGATTTGAACGGAAACGGAACGACCCCAGGAGCCCTCCACGGAGGCACCGGGGCTGGCTGTGCCCGTCCTCCTGGCTGGGGCTCCGCTCGGCAGGCGCGGGGCTGTCGCTGTGAGGACGCCGTCAGGGGGGAGAGGCCCCGCCAGGTGCCCGCCCTCCCTGTGTCTCTGACCCCCACCCTGGCGGGGCGGGGCTGGGGTAGACAGTGACTGTGGGGCTCAGAGAAGTCGCTTCTGTCCTCCTGTCTGATGGCAGCCCCTGTGAAGACCGGCCTGTGGAGAGCCGGGCCCACTGTCCATGCAGCTGCGAGGCCCGTGGCCCCGGTGACCACGGGGCCTACTCCGCTGTGCGCAGACAGAGGAGGCTTGGACGGCAGTCAGTCTGAGCGCATCTCCCCACAAGCTGTGGACTGACCGCAGGGGATGGACCCTTCCTTGCCGGGAGGCCGCTGTCAGAGGGGCTGGGGTGGCTGTAGGCCCCCCTCTAGGGGGCCCCCGTGCTCTAGTGACTGCGGGCAGGTGCTGAGGGAGCCGAGGTGCCCAGGAGCAGAGAAGGGACGTGCCGGGGGCTCCCCAGCTGCCCGCCTCTCTGACCTACCGAGAGCCTTTACTGCTAAAACAAGGGACAGCAAAACAAGCAAGCACACAGCATTGTCAATGTGAGCAATGTGGAAAGGAGTTGGCAAAAAGTGTACTTATAAAGCTGGTATGGCCCCAGCCAGTGTGGCTCAGTGGATTGAATACTGGCCTGAGAACCAAAGGGTGGCTGGTTCGATTCCCACCCAGGGCACATGCCTGGGTTGCAGGCTGGGTCCCCAGTAGGGGGTGCACGAGAAGCAACCACACGCTGATGTTTCTCTCCCTCTCTCTCTCTCTCCCTTCCTCACTCTCTAGAAAAAAGTAAAATCTCAGAAAAACCACAAACAACTGGTATGATGTGAATTTCTCACTTCCTTAAAAAACAAAGCTTTAAAGTCTAGTGACCGTTAAGTTGGGGGAGTCGACACCTTCCATTTTCACCCGTGGATCTGCCAGCATAATGCCAAGTGTGGCCAGTGGGTCTTTTTCCCAAAAGTGCTGCAGAACCTGTGTACCGGGCCCGGGCCCGTGAGCGGCCGACACAGCCCCACCGGCGGCGGGGCCGGGGCTCCCGGCTGCCCTCGGAGGCTCTGGAATCGGCGACGCGCACTCTGCCGACGCCACGGGGCCCCAGGGGGTGGCTGCGGTGGGGGTGGGCACTCACCCTGTGCAGGCGCCTTCCAGAGCAGGGTCCTCTGCGCCGCGCCCCAGGTAGTGGTCGATCAGCTTCTCTCTGGAGGCCTGTGGGGGACAAGCTGCGCTCGGTGTCTCGGAGGAAACAAGCGGCCAGAACCCCAACGAGGGCCCTGTGGTGCAGGGACTCTGCCGAGTGTCGGCGACCCTCGTCTCGTGGAGAGACAGCTACGACTCTCGAGTAAAAGGAAGTTTACACCCTGGCCGGCGTGGCTCAGAGGACAGCGTGCCGGCCTGCGAACCAACGGGTGGCCAGTTCGATTCCCAGCGTGGGCACATGCCTGGGTTGCAGGCCAGGTCCCCAGTAGGGGGCGCACAAGAGCCAACCACACATTCACGTTTCTCTCCCTCTCCTTCTCTCTAAAATAAAAGCTTTAAAAGAAGTAAAAGTTTAATTACTCATAGTCAATTTTACCAAGCCTTTTAAGACACCTTTCGTGATGACGATAAGCATCTCCCTCCTGGTAGAAACAAATCGCCCTCTTTAGAAAGGGTGCTTCCCAAACTCACAAGGTTGGTTTCGTCGCCGAAGTCCGCAGGGTCCCCGATGATGTTTATCGCCACCAGAGCGACCTGCGAGAGAGGGGCCGACGGAAATGGAGTGTGAAAGGCTCGGGACAGCCAGCCTGCGGTCACACGGGATGACGCACGGGGACACACAGCGAAACCTGCTCCCGGGTAGTGTCACCGACGATGGCTGTTTCCAGTCACACAAGCTACTGCTCTAACGTTGAACCAAGAGGCTATTGTAATGTCCAAAGGATGCTAAAACCGTAACGACGAAAGCCCTTGCGTTTTTTTAATCCTCACCTGAGGACACGCCTGTTGATTTTAGAGAAGGGAAGGGGGTTGGGGGAAGAGCGAGGGAAACATCGATGGGTTGCCTCTCCTATGCGACCCGACTGGGGACCAAACCTGCGACCTGGTTTATGGGATGACACTAACCATGTCGTGCCGGCCAGGGCAGACCCTGTTCAACAGCCTCTCATGGAGCCATTGGTTCCAGTTACACACGGGTCACACCAATACCGTCTTGGTCCATTAGACAAGGACACGAAAACCAAGTCTCGAACAGCTCCGTCTAAGTCAGACTGTCACTGGAAGGGGGGAGCCCTGGCCCGTGGGGACCCCACTGCGGACCAAGCCCGCAGCCTGCCCAGGGCTCCCTCGCTCCCTGCCTGGGCCTGGCCTGGCCCTGCACTGCCACCTGGGCCAGCAGCTCCCTGCCCCCCCAACGAGAGCTGAACGCTCCCCCCGTAGGAGAGGTTCTGAACACGCCTTTCCGAAGGCGTGGACACACAACACAGGACGCACAGCCCTCGAGGAGCAGGGCAGGGGAGGCGCGAGCCCCACCTGATTGTAGATGTTGTACTTGTTGGCATGGTTCTGGTGAAAGATCAGTTTCAGGAACTGTCCCACCGCGTCCACATACACCGACTTCAGCTCCCGGGCTTTGCACCCCGTCTTCTCGTTGTCACAGAGGGAGACGTACCTGAGGGTGGACACAGGCAGGGTGTGTCCCCAGGAAAGTGTGCTGGTCGGGAAGGTGGCCCTGTCCCCACGCAACACGCGGGGTTTCAGTGAGCACAGGGTGTCTGGGATGAGAACTCTGGGCTCTCATCCGTCTCCGTAAGGCGGGTTCTGCGTGTGCGAGGCGGGCTGGAAAGCTCTCCGCGGCGGCAGCCCCTGCGTTCCCCGCGCTCAGCCCCGCCTACCCGAGCCTGCGGAACCGCTCGGCCTGGTACGGGGCGAAGTACTCGGGCAGGCTCTCGCTGACGTAGAACTCGACCTTGCTGGGGACCATGTACTGGTGGGCCAGCAGCTGCAGCTTCCTGATGCGGCATCGCTCCACAGTCTGGACGACGATTTCCTGTGGGAACTGGCAAAACCTGAAAGCAGACGCAGGTCGGTTTCCTGTGATTCCAGGCTCTTCCCTGGGACGGCACTACCCTGGCCCCTCGAAGCCCTAGTCCTTGGAGACAGGACATGAGGGGACCAGGACACCGCCTGCCCTTTCCAACTCTGCACAGTGGGACGGGAGGCTTGTAGTTAGGGCCGGATCTGACCTGCCCACCACCCAGTGAGCAGCACTCTGGGCGGCCGGGACGGGGCCGCCGTGGGTCCTGAAGTCTCACCGCAGGGCTTTCTCACCACGAGAGAAACACGTTCCCCTTTGGTGGCTGTACCGGCGGGGGAAGCGGAGCCCAGGGACTTCCCACGGGAGCCCTCTACACACTTCAGGGAACGGCCCACTCGCAGGGCCCGGTCACGAGTCAGCAGCAGCTGCCCATGTCTAACGTGCCTCCCGCGTGCGCACCGCGTCCGAGGGGACGCCTGCACCGTCCACGCTGGGGCTTCCAGCTTCCTGGGAGGGGACACAGCGCACTGAACCCTAACCTGGAAGCGGCAGAGCCACCGCGCTGGCACAAGCCTCACAGGGTGTGATCACAGCCCGGCCAGGGGCGCCGTGCGGAGCTGGCGGGTCCCGCGTGTGCGGGGCTGGCGGGCTGGCGGGCTGCAGGGCATCTGGAGCACCGGAGGACGGACGTCGGGGGAGGCCCTGCCACCACCTGAGTCCCTGCCCTCGGCACTGCTGCCTCTCCCCCACCAGCAGTCACTTTCCACGAACGAGACGGGGCTCCTGTCCGACCCTCCCACCCGCTGGTGCCCTGCTCCCGACTCGACCGGCTGAACCTCACTGGAGCCAGCGGCCTCTCCCTCATCTGGTCCACTCCCGTCAGGACACAAACACGCTCCAGAAAGCCCCGGTTTGAGAGTCCTTCCATGTCCCCACCTCCCTCCCGGGCTCCTGCTGGTTTCCCAGCTGCCTTCCTCACTGACGACCTCAGGTGTGGTGCGCAGTCATCGGGGCAGCTTTGGGTGCCCCCCCTCCCATCCCCTGCAGGAAGCCTTCTGTCCCGGCCCCACTGGCCTGTCGCGGGGCCACGCCTCCCTGGGCCCCCAGCCCTGGACTGTGCCCGGGCCCCTCCTCTCCAGGCTCTGGCAGCCTGTTACCCCTGTGGTGTTAACAACCCCCTGCTCATCAGGGAGCCTCAGCTGTCGCCGAGTCCCACCCTAGAGTCCAGCGGCAACTTGCCAATTTCCATATAGAAACCTGGAAAGTGCCATGTGACCATGGCCCCAGCCATTCCCACCCACGCAGCAGCCCAGCCCATGCTGACGCTTCCACGGGATGGGCAGGCCTCCTCCCGCCCCCAGACTCCCGCTTGGCTCCCTGCTGGGTGATACGGCCTCATCCTGGGCCTGGGGAGCCCTGCTCTGTGGACACCGGGGAGGAGGGGAATCACTGCATGGGTGTGAACCTCGGGAACCCCCGCAGCCCTGGGTGGCGCCGACCCTGCAGACACGGTCTCTCCAGCGCCTGCACACCCGAGGTGAAGGGCACGCACACGGCAGGCCCGGGAGGAGCGGAACAGTAACCGGCAGTGAGCTCGAGCGGTCACGGCAGTCCCGTGTGGCCACGCAGCGTGACTGGGGTCCCTGGGTCCGGGTCCCCGCCGAGGTCCTTGCGGAGCCCGGTGCCTGCTGGGAAACACGTCGCTGTCCATCGGAACGCGTTTTCCGTCTGTCTTCCACCCACAGACCGAACGCCTCTTCCGCCCTGACGAGGTCCTCGTCACGCACCGTGGCCGGAGCTCCTGCAGCCCGAGGGGCGGCAGCAGACGGGCCCGGTTTCTCTTTGCTGCTCCACCGGCACACGGGCAGCGGACGCCCTCCTGTCGTGGGTCTCAGCAGCCCCGACAGGACTTTCTCCCCTTACTCGGTCGAGAACTCGCTCCTTCCACCCACGGGAAGCACTTCACGGCTGCTCTTGGGCACATCCGAGCTGCTGGTGTCCCCACCCTGCGCTTTGGGGCCGTGACTAAGGGACACCCCAGGTGCCGGACACGGGGGCCGAGATGCGGTGGCCGTGAGCCTGACACCGAGGTGGCTGCTAAGTGACCGACGGGTAGGGAGTGTCCACAGCGTGGGGACGCTGGACAGAGGGACGATTCATGCCCAGGCAAGACAGCCAGAGATCTGATCACGTGACTCAGACTAGCACCGACTTTACAACTACAATCTGTTATTTCTGGGCTTTTCCGTTGAAGTATTTTTGTTCTGTGGCTGGACCATGGGTACCTGCAACTGCCACCAGGGGGACTGCTGTGTGCACGACACAGAGGGACACAGAGGGACTAGTGGGCCAGTGGGGGCGAGACGGCGGCTGGGCGGGAAGACTCATTCTGAGCGCGCCAGGCATTTCCTGACGCTGAGTTTTCCAGCGGCACAGTCGTCAGGGAGGCGCAGCCAGTGGACAGTGGGGACTGAGCCTCCCGTGACATGAACACTCTGTGCCCGCTGCCGGCCGTGCGCCACCGGGGACACGTACTGTGCACAGCTGCAGGGGGCAGTCGGGGGACAGCTGTGGTGAGCTCACTCTAGACACAAGGACTGTCAGTGATCTACCAGGAAAAGAACCCTTTGTTGCTAAAAAACCCAAAAACCTCCAGAATTGTTTAAAGAAAACAGAGACCGACAAAACCGTGAGGCTGTGTCATTTTTAAAATCCTTAGAACACAGTCTGGTTTAGCTGCTCAGGTGCAGGCCACAGAGTTCACAGACGAATCGAAAGCATCCTTTGAACTGACTGTAAAGTGAAACAGACCTCTCTTCCCAGACACACTGACAGCTCTGGCCTTCTTTCTGGACATCAACTTGGCAATGAAAGGATTTGTGCCCCGGGGCCCCAGTGGCTGGTGGAGACAGTCCGCTCTCTGCAGATGCCAGATGCTTCCAGCTCCCGGCAGGAGGACACTGGAGGGGCTCCCCTGTGCCAGGCAGGACCCTTGCTGCCCTTCCTCCCGGCAGGGCTGCTCCTGCAGGGCCCAAGCACCCCCCTACCCCGGGTCGACAGAGCCCCGTCCTCTCCTGCGGGAACCAGCCGCGAGGTGGTGGCCTCAGGGACCACTCTGTGCCCAGGTCTGGAGACCCCACCAGAGCCAGCGTGGGACTGCGCTGCGTCCCCCTGCCGGTGCCATGGTCTGGAAGCCCGCCGCTGAAACGAGGGCTGGGCAGGCCCTGAAAGGACCCACCGCCACGCCCGTGCACAAGAGAACCTGTCGGTTATGTCTACGCATGCGACCCAAGTGGTCCCTGTCCACACGGCTGCGCCCCTTTCACCCGCATCGACACCGACCGACCGCGATGAGCATGGAGGGCGACTGTGGAGGGGGGTGGGCCGTGGCAGGGCACGTGCATGGCCCCTCGCCCAGGGAGAGGCAGGACGGGGGGGGGGACTGGAAAGTGAGGAATGCACAAAGGGGGCACCGCCGCCTGGTGGGTGCCCCCCGCCCCCCAACCGGCTGGCCCGGGTCAGGCGAGTGGCCATGGCGTGACCAGGTCAGCCCTGCAGCGCTTGCTGGCCTGCAGATACAGTCCTTGCCCCCCAGTATCAGTCTCATGAGCAACGAAGGGGCTGTGTCACCCCCGTCTGCCTGGCTCTCAGCTTTGTGTCTCGGTTCTTCCCCAACTTGGGAAGGAACAGGAGTCCCTTTCGCTGGGTTCCCTCAGAAAGCGCCAAAAGGAAGGTCCATTGTCATTTTAAATGGGATCTATGCTCATCTCCTCAGCAGCAAAAGTGAGTGAAAAGAAGCCACAGGTGTGGAATGGGGAATTCAGACTGTGACACTCAGTCACGAGGAGCAGGGACAGTGAGGGCGCCTGGGCCCTGGGGGAGGACAGCCGGCCTCAGGGGACTGCGCGGGGCCCACCACGCACGGCACCGACTGCACCTCCGCCGAATGATGCGGCCGCCCGGGGCCGACCCGCTCTCGGAAAAGCCCTAACCAACACCACGCTGCCCACGCAGCGCACACTCCCAGGGCAGCAGCAGACACTCTGGACGGGCCCGAGAGACCCCTTGGTTGGGGCCTGGGGTCACTTAAACGCAGGCAGACGCAGAGCCTTGGCCCAGGGACACGGCCACGGGACTGAGAAACCCACCAACGCAGGTCTCCCCACAGAGCCCGGACGACTGTGTGAGCCCCAAGGGACACAGGGGACCGTGGTTCGACCCCTGGGAGGGGGGTCCACCGTCCTCCGCCTCCGGCTCTGCTGGGTCTGCACGTTTCTTAGGTGGACACGGGTTAAGTCACGAGGGGAAGAGGTCCGACAAACTCTCCTTGAACACAGGAGCAGCAGGAAACAAATGCGTCACCCAAACAGACAGGCCCGCAGTTCCGACACCCGAGGGTGACAATGGGAACTCGAGGCAGCCCCTGCTCTCCGAGCCCCTGCCGCCTCCAGCCCAGACCCCTGCCCAGCCCACCTCGGTGACCTCCACCCGCTGACGGTCGGGGCGTGGATCATCAGTTCCCGGGCACTGAAGCCGTCCTCGTGCCCTGACGAGCTGACCACGACGAATCCGATCTTGTGGGGCATTCTGGGCACCGGCTGTTCAAAAGAGCAGGAAGCAGCCTTTAAGAGAAAGGGACTTAGTAATGGAACAACGTCGCCACACCGAAACAGGCAGTTCGGCCTTGCTGAAACACAGAGCAACTGGAAAACTCTGGTGTTTGGTAAGGGCTTCTCACAGGAGCCTCTAATTCTGCTTAGGGCATCTTCCGAGTTGTTTTAGCTTTTCCCAAATACACGTCTAAAAAGTTTGATCAGTGTTGTGGTTGAATTTTGTCCACCCCAAAACACACACTGGAGCCCTCCTGTGAGTGGATCTTATTTAGAAAGAGGATGTCTGCAGATGTAACAGAAGCTACAGTGAGGTCCCACTGGCGCAGGGCAGCCCTGCTCCCGAGTGACTGGTGTCCTCATCAGAAAAGAGACGAGGGCGCGCGCACACACACGTGCATGCGCATGTGCACAGGCCACGTGACAACAGTGAGGCCACTGGAGCTCCGACGACTGCTGGACAGCACCAGAGGCCGGAAGAGGCAGCAGGGACCCTCCCTAGAGCCCTGCGGGGGTGTCTCAGCTTTTGGCGTTTCTGGGCCACACCGGAAGGAGAAGGGCTGTCTTGGAGCACATTACACCGTGACACGTGGTCACAAAGACATCGCGTCGTGTTCTAAGTGAATTGACAGTTTTGCGTTCGGCCGCGTTCACAGCCGTCCTGGGCTGCAGGCGGCCCGCGGGCCACGGGTGGGGCAGCCCGGCAGAGACCACAGCCACGCCCACGCCTTGAGTTTGGACTTCTAGCCTCAGAATAAAGTGCTTGAGGTACTTTGTTATGGCAAAGACAAAATTTTCAGATAACGTACAAATACAAAGCTTGTTACGTTGGTTAAAAAACTAATCCAACCGTAAGTCACCAAAAATAAGGAGAAAAGGGGGCTTTTTAATCAGCAGCGTAACAACTGCTATGTGGGAGTACGCGCCCAGAGTGGGGAGCGGAACCGCAGACACGAGCCGCCCCAGAGACGGGCGTGGAGCCCGGCCAAGTGGCTCCGGGGGACGTTCACATGCATACGGCCAACTGCATGTTTGTGTCATGACTGTTCCCTTAATCCTCACCCAAGGACATGCGCAATATTTCAGAGAGGGGAGGGAGGGAGAAAGAGAGAGAGACAGCAGTTGGTTGCCTTTCACTTGAGCCCCAACCGGGGATCGATCGAACCTGTCACCTTGGCATGGGCCCTGACTGGGACTGAACCCACGGCCCACGCTCCTCAGCTCTCTGCGGCGGTGGCCACTCTCCCCAGGATTGGTCAGTCCATGAGTTCCATATCCATCCTCCGTAACTGGTTCAGGGCCAGGGCCAGGACAACAGGACCCGAGATGGACCAATGCCACTCAACCCCGGGACTTCGCTGGGGCTACCTGGGAAGAGAAGATTCCTTCCTGCTGCGAATGGGGTTGTGGGGGCTGCTGGAGCCACCAGTGGGGGTCCTGCCACAGAGCACGCCACCATGGGAGCCTTGCTAAGTGAGGCAGCGAGCCAGAGGGCCTTGGGTCCCAGCCACGTTTAAACCATTCGTGGGCTTCTGGACTCGTTCCAGCTAACGAGCCCAGCAAACTCCCTTCAGCAAGCCGGGCTGGGCCAGGCTTCGGTGCTTGCAAGTGAAAGTCCTTGTTAGAGCAGGGGATCTAGAATTCTCCAGAGCCCTGGCTGGTGCGGCTCGGTGGGCTGGGCGTCCTTCCACGGACCCAAAGGCTGCGGATTCGATTCCCGGTCAGGGCACACGCCTGGGTTGCAGGCCAGGGCCCCAGATGGGGAGACGGGAGAGGCAACCAATTGAACTCTGTCTCTCACATCGATGTTTCTCCTCTTTTCCCCACCCTTCCCCTCTCTGAAAAACATAAATAAAGTCTTCAAAATAAAGAGCTCTCCAGAAAGTTCTCTGGGTTGGGGACACTATTAAAGGAAATTCTCAGTAGGAGGGCCTCGTGGACGTGCCCCCACACGATCACCACATTGGCACACGCACGCTCCGGGGCCTCACTTGCCCGAGAACCCGGGGTGGCCACGTGGGCAGCCCGACCACTGCCAGCCCTGCTGCCATCTCTCGGGAGGCGCACTCGGTGAGCACAGAGCGGTAACTCACTGCTGAAGTCCCAGCTGTGACACCTTTTGTGCAAAGCTCACAGCAAAATGTCCCACTGCAGTAGAGGGAAGCTCAGCTAACCCAGGAAATAATGAGAAGCAGCCACGAAAAAATGGATGCATGAGATTTTACCCACTGGATTCGGTGTAGCCTCACCCAGCGATTCTAGGAAGGGAACTGGCCCTTGAGCCCTCAGCCCTGCCCAGGTGCTCAGCTGTCTGCTGGCCGCCCTTCTCCTTCAGCCTGGGCCCCACCCCTCCCCATCCCCCACCCCTTTCTGCAGTGCCCCCTCCCCACCATGGAGTGCCTGCCAAGAGGGGAATGTGTCCCTCCAGTCCATCCTGATGTCTTCCTAGATGCCAAAGTCCAGGAGCACTGCCCACGAACCCTCCTTGAGCCCAGCTAGGGCCACCGCCACCCGTGTCCTAAGTTGAGAACCCTTGATGGCCCTTTGTCCAGGGCTGCAGGACCAGCTGGGTCCTGACCCCATGTGCTGCTCCAGCCCTCACTCTCTGCCATGAACTCCAAAGCCCAGCCAGACCTGCTGCAGATCAGAGCTCCTTCCCTGACTTGGAATGCCCAGGCCCTCCGTCACCTCTGCAAGCCGGTCTGCTACTCCTTCTCCTGCCCTGAAGGCGGGCGGCAGCTGTGGAGTCCTTTCAGCTGAGTGTGACGGTAGACCCCAACCCTGCCCAGACTGGAGGTCCTCCTCCCATTGCCCGATGTGTGCAGACTCGCTAGATCACCTGGCACTGGTGACCGCACGGCCCGGGATCACTCAGTGTGCCCGCGGCTGTCCTTAGCACTGGACTCGTATGCACACCTTCGTGACAGCTGTCCCCGGTTCATTCGTCACCCCAGCTTTATAGACGAGGGAGCTGAGGCACCTCGAGGCCGAGGGTCACCCAGCCAGTGAGCCATGTGGGCAGGGTTGCTCCTAGCTGGTCAGCTGGCCAGGCCCCAGTAGCTTCTGCTCTGGTGCTAAGACTTCACGGGGACCTTTGAAACCCATGCAGAGCGTGTGTCCACAATGCTACGTCGCTTCAACAGAGGCAAAACGAAGCGCTGGCTTTCAGGAACCAGTGGGAGAGAGGCCGGGGCACATCTGAGCAGGATTCCGCTCTGGCCGCTCCACCAAAGCCCTTTCACCTGGTCCCATAGGGTCCCCTCCTGTGTACCTTCCGGTGTACCTCGAGACACCGGGACCACTGGAGGGTGCTGCTAGAAGGCTCCGTAAAACCACCATTAAGTTGGGGAAGAAGCAAAGCTCTGCTCAGCGCTCAGCACGTGGGACCCCGACTGCTCTAGTGCAGGGTGGAGGTCCGCCCCAGCCAGTGCCAGCCTGCAGGTGTCCAGAGTCCCGCCCGGCCCACTGGGGGAAAGCTGCCTCGGAGGGGTTCCTTCCCTGAAGTCCGCTTCTCCAAGCTTGGGGGGGGGGGGCTGATATCTACAAATTAAGGTGAAACATTTTAGCAACTCCTGAATATTTTGCTACAAGACCGGGAAAGACAACTTGTTTCCACTTTTCAAGAAAATATAAATGTTCAAAATTAAGCCATTTTTGGTCAAGTGATCTAAAGAGCCGAGAATGCCTCTGAGAACATCTGAGACTGAAAACACGCAAAATAACGAAGTAAGTAACAGGAGGCGAATAGAACCTGTGCGGGGCAGAGGCACACTCTCGACGCATTTTGGCCGGCCAGCCATGCCGTTCTGGGTCACCATCAGCCCTGCGTACCGCACGGCCAGGTAGGGACACAGGGAACTGGGCGCAGGCGCCCGCAGGGCCTCTGTGGGCCGTGACGCAGCGCGCGGCCGCGCCACCCGGGGCCCCGGGTACCTGGCCGGCTGCTCGACACGCTCGGGCAGACAGCGCCCGCACCCGCTCACCCCGCCACACGCCGGCCCCACGGTCCAAGTCCGCGCCCAGCCCCGCGAGCCCGGGATAGAAGCCCGCTCGGCCTCGTGCCCCACGCCCCGCGCCTGCGCTCCCGGCCAGTCCAGGTACCTGTCAGGACCGAAGGCCGCGGGACCTCGGCTCCCACACGACCCCCAGGGCCTTCCGTCCAACTCCGGGAGCGCCGCGACTTCGGCAGAGCTCAGGTAGCGCCGACTTCGCAGCCCCGGGAGCGCCAGCCCCCGCGAGCCGCAGCATCAGTGGCGAGGAAGGAGCAGTCCCAGCAGTCTACACCCAGCGCTGTGGCCGCGGCTGCCGCTCTCATGACAACCAGACCGGGCCCAGCCCGGTCTTCGCGCCTGCGCGACCCCGCCCCCGCCGTACGGCGGCTGCGCAGGAGAAGGGACGCTCCGCCTTCGCTTCCCCGGGACTTCTGGGTAACGGAGTTTCCAGGGAACTGCGCACGCGCACAAAAAGGCTGAGCCTCTCCTTTCCCCGGCCTTCTGGGTAGTGTAGTTCCGGGGCGGTGTGCGGCCTTCTCTTCCGCGGAGTGCACCTGGGGCTGACCCCGCGGCCCGCGTGGGGACGCGCCTAGGAGTGGGCCCAGCAGGTGCTTCCTGCGGGGCTGGAGGCTCTGAGGATGATGTCTCTCTTCCGGAAGCCCAAGACGTTCAAGTTGCGAGCCCTGCACAGCCAGCAGAAGTTTGGGGTAGCGGGGAAGAGCTGCCAGGAGGTGCTGCGGAAGGGGTGTCTCCACTTCCAGGTGCGGTAGGGGCTGGGAGTCGGGGGCCCCGTGCATCCCCCTGCAGGTCCCGGGAAGGGACAAGGGCGGCTGTGGGAGTTTGTCTGGAGACCCTGGGTGGGATGGAACAGTCTGACCCACCGTCTGTCACCAGCAGCACTGGTGGAGCCTCGTGTCCCCAAGTCCTGACAGGTGCCCCGTGAGGCGGAAAACTCGAGCAGCAGCTGGCCCCAGCTTCGACTGGGCTCCCTACACGGGCTATCGTGGGGCCCACGACAAAGCCCGTGAATGAAGTGCGAGCGCTCCACTTCAGGAACAGGGTGCGGGTGGCGGAGACTCCGAGGGCGCGCGAGGCCCTGCAGAGCGGGTGGAATGTGGGTCCTTGGACTGGAGGCGCCTGGGGCTGATGGAGGTGGAAGCCTCTGTAGGGTGCGCAGGAAAACTTGGGGAGAGGAAAGGGCTGTTTTCCAGGGTGTATGTGTGCGTGCGATGGCCGGGAGTGGGGGGGGCGGGCAGGCGCTCCAGAGAATCACCATTCCTCGCCATTAGGCCCTGGAGACACCCTTGAGTCAGGAACTTCTTCCTCTGGTTCCTGAGCGGGTGCCAGGCACAGAGCATAGGGGCTGGAGGTGGAGGGGGATCGGGAACACCTTCAGTCTTCTGACGGTGAGAGTCACAACTGCTCTGGCTTGAGATTCTGGGATCCTGTTTTCAGTGCACACCAGCTAATGCACTGGGAGTCAGAGCACAGCCACTCGGCGTCCCTTGGACTCGGTTTCCCCTTGTGTAGAAGAAGGGGTTGGGCTCGGAGGCGTCTCAACTCCGGGCTGCTGAATGTTGTAGTTCCTCCAGCCGCTATTCTGACTCTTTGGGAGTTTGTTCCGGTGGCTGGGCCTAGACACACGCCAGCGTGCGTGTGTGTGGGCAGGGCTGGGCCCAGAGTCGCCACAAAAGTTCATAGAACTGACCAGAGGGGGGCAATGGACAGCCAGAGCTCTGCAAGAGAACAGTGCTGGTCACGCTTCTGCACAGAGGCCACACATTACCCTTGGTCAGATGTTCTCCCAAAACCAGTGCCCGGGACATGAACTCAGTGAGCCGGCGGGTCCTGACACCTGCCAGGCACTGTGCCCTCATCCGTGTGGCTGCACCGACCAGCTTAGTGGCAGCCGTCATGAGTCATTTTGGGAAACAGGCTCGGATTCTAAGTGCCCTGGAGGAGCGGCTGGAAAGGGTCCGTGTCCCGCATCCCAGGAAGCAGTGACGCTGTGTATGCTCGTATGTGACTTCCTGTTATAGAAGGACCTACCATGGGTGCCCTGGCTCAGACACATGTGCGTGTCTCAGGCGTGTGCCCCACTGGAGTGCAGATGGCACGTCGAGTGTGATTCTTTACAATGTGCTTCTCTGTGGCGGGCCCACCTGGAGCCCGGTCAGTGAGCACCCTGCTCTCTCCCCTTCTCCCCAGCTGCCTGTGCCCGGCTCCCGCCTCTGTCTCTACGAAGATGGCACGGAAGTGACGGGAGGTTACTTCTGGAGCATCCCCGACAACTCGGAGCTGGTGCTGCTCACCGAGGGCCAGACCTGGGAGGGCTGTAAGTGGTGGGGCCCCGGGATGCTGAGGGACAGGGTCCGGTAGACAGTCCTCCAGGCAGGATATTCTGATGGTGGACAAGCCCACAAAAAGAGGCTCAATAGCATTAGCCTTCAGGGACATGCAAGTCAAAGCCACGGTGAGGTTGCACCTCTTCCTCCACCCCCCACCCCAGAAGGATGGGCACTGGCGAGGATGTGGGGGCACCGGCACCCTCATTCACTGCTGGTGGGCAGAGTCTGGTGGTTCCCGGGACAGGATCACCAGGGGACCCAGCAGTTTATGCCTAGGTGTGCACCCAAGAGGCGTGCAAACACAGGTCTGCACAGAGGTTGCACAGGGGCGTGCGCAGCAGCCTTGTTCATATGGCCGGAAGGTGGAGAGAAGCCCGTGCTCTCAGACGGACAAACGGCCTGTCCCAACGGTGGAAGACTGTTCCACCAGGAAAAGGGGTAACCCCGGGCCGCACCCCGCCCACTGGTTCTGTACCAGGGGTCTGCTGCAGCCGCGTCTGTGCTGTGCGTGGTGGCTCGTGGAATCTTACTTCTTGTTTCCCCAGGGGCTCATGGTGTCGACCCCCTTTAACTGTGGCTGTTTCCCATCAGTGCACAGTCCCTGCCACCCCGCACGGCGCTGGCCGAGAATGTGTGGCTGCGGGGTCCCCCGCCATGTGAACGTGGGCATCCGCACAGCCCAGGTGGCGTGCCCACTGCCCGGGCAGCTGCCACGTCCTCTGCATGCTTGTCGCTGACCGTGTCCTCTTTGGTGGAATGTTTCTGTGTCCTCTGTCCATTTTCTAATTGTTTTTTACGTTTCAGTGCTGAAATTGGAGAGTTTTGTTGTTCTGAGACACTCTGCATGTGAGTCTTTTTGTCAGGCAGTGCGTCTCACTCTCCCGGAAGAGGAAGGGCCCTTCGCCGAGCCACAGCCTTCGTTCTGACGAAGGCCCGTTCACCCTTTTTTTTCATTCTACTTTTGGACTTAAGGCCGAGAAGGCCCCCCCAGCTGTAGGTGCCCAAGGCCCTCGCCTTCTCATTTTTCTGCATGGGTCGCTACGACCACGCGACTCCATCCCTTCTCTGGTTGAGGGCAGACCACAGAGGTTGCTTTGCAAACTCTGAGCACCCTGGTGTCCCGCAGCGGCCCCCGTGGGCCGAGGTTCTGGCCACGGGCATGCCGGGTTCTGTCTGTGAGATGCTGTGAGGGCAGCGGCAGACTTTGGCTGCACCCTGCCCTGAGCCCCTGAGGCGTGGGCAGCTGGCCTCTGGCCTCGAGGACCGGAGCCCGGGTCCTGCTGAGGCTGGTGGTGCCCCAGCTGAGCGTGGTGGGCGTGAGGAACCCTGTCTCCCAGAGGCTGTCGGCCCCATGTTTTCCCAAGGCGGTGCCCCGAGGACCAATGGCTCTTCTGTGTGTCCCCCCTTCTGGTGGCAGATGTGAGTGACATCAGTCGCTTCCTCAACGTGTTCCACAAGCCGCATGTGGGGGTCATCCAGGCTGCCCGGCAGCTGCTGTCGGATGAACAGGCCCCGCTGCGGCAGAAGCTGCTGGCCGACCTCCTGGGCACTGTCAGCGAGAACATCGTGGCCGAGACCCGGGCCGAGGACCCGCCCTGGTTCGAAGGTGCCCCGTGCAGTCAGGGCCTGGAGGGCGCTGGGGGCGGGGGGGCTTCCCCAGAGCCGGACACGGGGGTGGGGAGGCCGGATTCTATTTCAGCTCCCAAAGCAAGGGCCCTCCCAGGTTAGGGGCTTGCCTCCTGCTCCCTGCTCGGCGGGGGGTGGGGGGCAGATTCCAGGCAGCCTAGGACCGTGGTGAAGGATGCTAACACACAGTTCGCCATCCTAACCATTGTCAAGGGCACAGCTGAGGGGCCTCAGGCACATTCGCGCTGTCGGGCAGGTGCCACTGCCATCCTCTCCAGAACTTTCCTTCTCCTACTCCATCTCTGTCCCCCTGGAACTGTAACCGCTGCCCCTCGCCCAGCCCCTGGCACCACCCTTTATTCTGTCTCTGTGGCTCTGACTCCTCCGGGGACCTCCTACAGGTGGAGTCGTTCTGTGTCTTTTTGCGACTGGCTGATTTCACGGAGCTTGATGTCTCAGAGGTCCGTCTGTGTAGCCGCAGGTGTCAGAGTTTCCTTCCTTTTCAGGGTGGAGCCATCTTCCACGGTGTGGCTGGACCACACCTGCTCTTCTGTCCATCCGTTGGTGGACACCTGGGTGGCTTCCGCCTGTGGCCCGTTAAGTCAGTTGGAAGCCCCCTGAGAGAATACATCCGCCTTGGAAAGGTGGCGCCGGGCGGGAGCTCTTAGGAGGCTTCTGAGACCCTCCTGGTGGACCAGAGACCCCCACCTGAAGCAGTGAGCAGGGTGTGCGTGCACGGCCCCGCAGGACGCTTCTCAGACAAATCCCCCACCCGCCCCCCTCGAGGACGGCCGGGAGTGCAGGGTCTGCCTTGGCTTCTCCCGCAGGTTTGGAGCCCCGGTTTAGGAGCAAGTCCAGCTACCTGAGGTTCAGCTGCGAGAGCAGGATCCGAGGCTACCTGAGAGAGGTAGGGCTGCCCCACGGCAGTGTGCCGGGCGGGTGGGCCGTGCGGCTGTGTCGGCTGGCACTGCGGACGGGGCTTCCCGACCGTGGTGCAGGGCGTGGTGGTGCAGGGCCTGGCGTTCCAGTCCTCAGCCGCGTCCTTGGCGTCCTCCAGGTGAACGCGCACACGCCCGCGGTGGGCGCGCAGGCTCGGGAGGAGTTTGCGCGGGTGGTGGACGCCATGGGCCAGAAGCTCCGGGCTGAGCGGTACAACGGCTGCTACTTCGACAGGGGCGCCAAGGCCGGCAGCCGGCTCTGCACGCCCGAAGGCTGGTTCTCCTGCCAGGTGGGCTGCGTGCCCCGAACCCTGGGGCCCTGGCGCCCCCTGAGCTGCCTGCCAGGCCCGGGAGGGGTGGGGGGCGGGTCAGCTCCCGTTCCCTGGGAATCCGCACGGGTCCGAGAACCTGCGTTTCCCACATGTCCCCAGGTGCACACCCGCTGCTCAGGGACCTCGCCGCTGCTGTGGGTGGGGACACAGGTGCCTGAGCAGAGCTGTGCCTTGGCATCAGGGGAGGATGACATTCCTTTGGGGGGGCTGGTAAGAGAAGGGGTGCTCGGGAGCCTCTGGGAAGCACGCGCGTCGTCCCCCTGGGTTAGCTTTGTGGGTGACAGAGCTCGGGGGTTCCAGGGTTTGTGGCCGCTGTGACACTTGGGGCACTCGTTAAGCGTGGCTCCTGGTGGGTGGCACTGGCTGCAGGCAGTGTTCTGAGCTGCGCAGGTGGACGTTGTGGGCTTCTCCGGGACAGGAGTGAACCATGGAGCGCCACGTCCCCCAGCGCCAGCTCTGGGCTTCGGAGCTGTGGCTTTGGGAGGGGGCGGAGGGTCCTTCCCGCCACCGTCCAGCCTTCCCCTCAGAGGCGTGTCAGGTGTGGTCCTGCCCCGAGTGGAGATGGCACCTGGGGCTTTGGCCAGTGCAGCCCTGCTGAGCTGGGCGGGTGGCGGAGGTGATCGGAGACCAGCAGGTGGCTTTGCGGCAGCCCCTTCGTTCTCTCTCGGCGCAGGGTCCTTTCGACATGGCCAGCTGCGTGTCCAGGCACTCCATCAACCCCTACAGCAACAGGGAGAGCCGGGTCCTCTTCAGCACCTGGAACCTGGACCACGTGTGAGTCCCCCGTGTTGGCAGGGCCTGTCCTGGGGAGCCGCCTTCAGGCCCAAACAGTGCCCGCGGGGCTGCCCACGGGGGCACCTGCAGCTCACCCGCGGCCTCTCCTGTCCTCGCCACCCAGCCCCTGGGTGGTTGCCAAGTGTGGTTTCTTTAGGAATCTTGTTTTCCTCTTTGTTTTTTCTGTGTGACCAATCGCCATTTTACGTTTTAGCCACAGCCGCGTCGGAGCTGTGTCTTAGCCGAGCCTGTGGGGTTGCAACACCGGAAGTGACCGTGTCTGGCCTCCCGTTGCAGAATAGAGAAGAAGCGCACCGTCATCCCCACGCTGGCGGGGGCGCTCGAGGACCAGGACGGCAGGCAGCTGGACTGGGAGTACTTCTACAGCCTGCTCTTCACCTCCGAGAACCTGAAGTTGGTGCACGTCGCCTGCCACAAGAAAACCACCCACAGACTCAGCTGCGACCCGAGCAGGATCTACAGGCCGCAGACGAAGCCCAGGAGGAAGCGGGCCGCTCGCAAGTGCCCGTGACTCGGGCTCGCGCCCTCCACATCGCCCTGGGCCTGGGGACAGGTTGGGGGGGCACAGGGAGGATTTTAACGGGTGCTGGGTTTTTTTGCCACTGCAGTGGCTTCTGGAAAGAGCTTCTACAAAACCTCCCTACAGACTCCAGACCCCAGGGCAGGTCTGAATCTGCGCCTGAGACCCCACAGTGGAGAGCAAGTTTGGTGCCCCGGCAGGACGTCAGGGGCGCTGGTGCCCGGGCGGTGGGGACCAGGGACCCGTGCTCTCGGGTCCTACCCGCTTGGGGCGCCCGTGTGGCCCCGCCTCCAGGCCCAGGCTGAGGGACGATGCTCTCCTGGCAGCTGGGCTGAGTCTCCCTGCCCTGACGGCAGGAAGCTCCACCCCAGACCCTTTCAGGGAGAGAAGGTCCCGCTCCGCGAAGAACACACAGGTGTTCACTCCGTGCTGACGCCTGTGGGCAGGGAATGGCCGCTGTGGCGTTACATCCCACCCCCTGGAATCCAACGGCCACGAAGGTCGGGCAGCGCTAACTTCACGAATCCCCTAACACGAGTGCGGGATGCGAAGCGGTGCAGAGGTTCTCGGTGCCTATGAGCGGAAACAAGGCGGGGGGGGGGGGGCTGCCTGTCCAACTCACAGGCCAGCTCCGCAGAGTGCGACCCGCCGCTTACGAAAGGCCTCCGCGTGCCGCACACGTGTTGGCGTGTGCAGACAGCACGTCTGTGAACAGTGGCAGTCCCGGGGACAGGGTGGGCACGGCTGGCTTTCACAGGACTAAGTCTGTGAAGTGCGGGTTTCACTGCACACTCGGACCTCCGTACCCGCGGGCTGGCGTCCTCGGCGCTGGTCCTCGCCGTTTGTATCCATTTGCACCAGGAGCAGGAGCATCTTGGGTCTGGGTGTCGGGGCCGGTGCTGGCTGCACCCCTCTGCGGGGACCGATGGGACAGCCACGCTTGAAATGTTCAAAATGAGCATTTATTTTGTAACTTTTAAAATTTTTTATTTTTTACATTTTGTAACATTTGAACTTTCACATTTACTGTAGAATCAGGACACACGATAAAGACTTTTCATAAACAGACATGTTGGAATAGTTTGCATTCATTGAAAATGATGGACATGAGGATGAAATAAGGGGTCAGACTGATCTTTTAAAAGCTGACCCTTCAATGGATGGAGCAGAAGGGTCACCGGTTCCATCCTCAGTCAGGGCACAGGCCTCGGTTGCGGGCCAGGTCCCCAGTTTGGGGCATGTGAGAGGCAACAGATCGATGTCTCTCTCACACATTGATGTTTCTCTCCTTCTCCCTCCCTACTCCTCTCTCTAAAAGTAAATAAAATCTTCTTTAAAAAAGCTGGCCCAGCCCTGGCTGGTGTAGCTCAATGGATTGAGCGCTGGCCTGCGAACCACATGATCGCGGTTCGATTCCCAGTCAGGGCACATGCCTGGGTTGCAGGCTGGTTCCCTGCAGGCCAGTTCCCAGCACGGGACGCACAAAAGACAACCATACATTGAATGTTTCTCTCCCTCTCTCCTTCCCCTCTAAAGATAAATAAATAAAATCTTAAAAAAAAAAAAAAAAAAAGCTGGCCCAGATTGTCCCATTTTCTTCATAGAAACATGGGACCACCTGGGGCCGAGCCACTGGTGTGGGGCGCGAGGGGCCTCACCCCACATGCGGACGGGGGAGCCCGCGCCTCTTCCCAGGCCCTGCGCACTGAGGGCCGCCAGGCAGCCCCCAGGGTGCCCGCTTCGCGACGGCCTGGGCGCTGGCAGTGCTGTGCCGGCCCAGAGTTCAGCCCCCAGCTTGTCTTGGTCACACGCTTTCTGGGCAGTGGGCGGTCTTAGGGGAGTTAAAGTGGACAGGCCTTCTCTACCGCAGCGTCAGAGTGACCCTGCTGCCCACCTTGCAGCTGGACACACAGGGCCACTGCTGTCCCCAGTGGGCTCTGTGCATGACTGCGTGTCACTTTGCAAAGACCAACCTTCGAGTGTCTGTCCACTGGAATGTATCACCTCACACGGTGGTCCTTGAGGCCAGGGGGCTGGGACGTGTGGTCTGCAGGCAGCGGGGTGGCGGGGGGACGCTGTGCCTGGTGACAAGTGACACTGTGCAGGACAGCTGGGCCCTCCCACGTGGCCCTCACCACTCGGCCTCTGCAGACGCCCGTCACAGGTTTATTGTCCAAGGTTAGACTTGTCCCATGGAAGAGACGCACAGGGCCAGGTAGGTGGGAGGGGCGTGGGCTCCCCCCAACCCGGGAGGAGTGGTCCCGTCCTACGGGGTCTCCCTCGGCTTTGTCACAGTCACCGAGCTGGCCACTGGCCAATGATTCAGTCTCCAACCCCTGGAGGTCAGGGGGGTTCTCCCAGCCCCCGACCCTTGGGGTCCCAAAGTCACCTCACTAACATGACAACGCTCAACTCTCAGGAAACTCCAGGGGTTTGCAGAGCTGTGAGCAGGAAACCGGTGAAGACCCCATGAACCACAGGGGGTGCCCAGGAGGAGGAGGAGGAAGGCGCCCCTCACCCAGGCCTGGCAGCAGCCGATGAGGTGCATGGGGTGCGGAGGCCAACCCCACCTTCCAAGGACGAGGCAGGGCAGGGGTTTGCTTTTGCCACTGAGCTCCCATCTTATGTATTTATTTAAATCTTTGTCATTGATCTTAGAGGAAGGGAGAGAGAGAGAAACATCCATTTGTTGTTCTGTTAGGCAGGACGGACGGCGAACCCAGACAGGCAGCAGGAGGGAGACGCCCAGTGACCGGGCAGCCCTGGGCCCGGTCGGATGCCAGTGCAGGGGCCCCAGCGGCACAAAACCACCAGGCTAATGGGGCAGGGGTCAGCCCTCGAAGTCCCACGTCTCGTCCCCACGCTCTGGGAAGAAAAGCCTCAGAAACTGGGCTTTCGTCCTGAGGCCCGCAAGGCTGGAAAGGGCCCAGAACCCGGAGGAAGGAGCCCATTGACACCGCTGGGTCTTCCCAGGGCCCCCCTCCTGCAGCCCCCAAAGCTGGCACCACCTTTACCCACCAGTCAGTGTGTAGCTTCTCCACGGCGTCCTGCGGGCTACGTCGGTGCCCGGAACACAGGAGCCTGGGCTTGGTGCTCTCGGCTTGTTTCCTGCCTGGCCTCCCCCTGCTCTTACCCCGCTCTGCCTCGAACCTATGCCTCCCAGGTCCGCCTCCACGAGAACGGGCCACAGACGAACCGCGCCTGTGCACCAGCAGACACGCCCATCTGTGATCCTTCACGGCACCGGTGAGAAGGGCCGAGTCTCCAGGCGGCCATCCTGGAACGGCCCCCCACTCCTGCACTCCCCAGTTGGTTCCTGTGCGTGCCCTGATCTAGGTGGGCATGGTCTCTAACTGACTGAGCTCTCGGGCCAGGGCGCTCCCAGACATTCTGGAAAGGAAAACAGCTTCAGGGACATAAGGCTTCTTGAGATATTTCCAAAATATATTTTATTTTTCCCATATGTTTCTTGGAAAGTTTCTGAGACAAACATTAGCTTCGCGCACGGGAAGAAAGGCGCGTTCTTTGAGAACTGCCGCCGTCGGTCACAAGGACGACCAAATTCTCTCCGTGGAAAGTGGGTGTGAGTGTCATCAAAACTGAAGCGCTTACTCGAAGAGCTTCCTTTACATTTACAGTCTGTCACAGTCACCATACGGCCCTGGAGGCCTCCCGCCCTCCCCCCAGCACCTGTGCAGACAGCCCTGGCGTGGACCAGTTTCCGCTTCAGGTGGGGCTGCCCCCAGAAGTGCGGTTCAGGACACACCCTCCCGGGGACACATTTGACAAGTCCTGTAATTCGCTCAACTGTCCACTGTTAACTGCACGGAACATGGGAGAAGTTGGCATATTTATTTGATTCCCTACATCTCCGCATCCTCTTCCTCCTCCTCATCGTCTTTGGCTCTGAAATGCATCTTCCTGAACTCTCGCCGGCTCACTGAAGGACCAGATGAAGACACTGGTGGGAGGTCCTGGGGGCAGAGAGCGCGCAGCTGTCAGCTACACACAGCCCGCTCCCTGCGCCCAGCTCGGCCCCACCTGTGTAAGGTGGGAGAGAAGTGGGGGAAGGTGGGAAAGAGCACGTCCAGCAGGCGCGGGCGCCACTCTCTCTCTCACACACACACACACACACACACACACACACGTGTGCGGGCAGGACCTCAGGCCCCTGCAGTGGGGTCCGCAGATGCCCACCCCCACGGAGGGCCAGAGCGGGAGTGGGATGGCTGGGCGCGTGCCAGCGCCCAACTGTTTCATTAGCTCCTCCCGGTCCACGAGGACTGTGTGTCTGACTCCTGCCAGGGCGGGTCTGCACGCGGGTCTGCACGCTGGGCGCGAGGGAGCTGAGGGACCCCCCGCGCCGCCAGACTTGCCTGCATCAGCTCGACGTTGCCGAAGAACCTGCTCACTGGCATTGGCTGGTTGCTGTCATCATCCAGGAAGACGCTGCCGTCCATGTGCAGCGGCGGCGTCTGGGCTGCCTCGGTCTCCTGCGTGTGCCCGCCCCCTGCAGTGGGACTGCTGTTCAGCTGGGGACCCGGAGGGGCGCTGGACAGGCCATCTTCTGTCCCTGCCGAGCAGGCGTCATGCACGACTCGGCCGTGCCCGAAGGGGAGGCCCGCGGTCTCCTGTGCGGTGCAGATGCCGGCGTCCTTTCCTGGGGCCGCAGGGCCGCCGTTAGCCAGCTCCAGGGGCTCGTTCTCACCAGGGGCCTCCGGGGACGCTCCGGGCAGGGCGGCGCTCTCGCTCTTGGGGACCAGTTTCTGTAATTCTGACTTCACAAGATGCCCTCTGTCACACTTGAACTTTTTGGAAGTCCGCCTGTCCGCGCCTCTGTGCGACGAAGAAGTCTGTCGAGGAAGAACAGCATCAGGGAGAAGACAGCCGTCCAGGGCTGCGGAGCTCGCGCTCCTCACACTGGAAGCCGTGGACACGCTGAAGCCCAGCGTCTGCTGTAGGGTCAGGGCCGGGTCACTGCCCGCCACCCGAGGTTCAGCTGGGGAAGAGCCCAGACCCCCCAACACCCCCACAGCTGCCGCTGTCTCTAGGCTGTGGATTTCCTGAGGCAAAGTCAGAAGTGTGGACAGATCATGAACGGGCCACAAAAGCACCCAGTGTCCATTCCTTCTGCGGAGCGGGGGCTGCGTGGGGGCGGGGGCAGGGGCAGGGAGCAGCGGCCGCCAATGCCCACCGGCTTTGCTGGGCCACGGGCTGGGGGAGGGACTCATGGCTGCTGGTGTCGAACCAAGTCCCGGCCTCACTGCGCCAATGCACCCAACCCGACGGACTCTGGGACAAGGCCTGCTCGGCAGCCACAGACGCGCGGGGCCCCCTGCAGCCCGCTCTGCCTTCCTCCCAAGCCCTCAGCGGTGAACAGGATGGCCCCATGCCACCGTCACTCAGAGGGTGGCGTTGAAGGAGACGATGCCTGAGATGCCTGCCCACGAGCAGGCAGGCCCCCCGGAGGCAGAGCCCCGGATCCACAGGCACTGGCAGCGCCCCCTCTGGTGCCAGGACGGGACCCGCAGGGTGAGCCCTGCGCCCACATCCCAGCGTCTTCTGTGCAAGGCTCACCTGACACACAGTTCTGGCGGACAGGGCGATCCCGGCTTCCTGGGCAGAGGCCAACCTGGCCGCACAGCTCCGGGCTCTCAGGCGCGCCGAGGACCGCACTCCCCCTGTGAGCTGGACCGGAGGCACGGCCGTCAGACGCTGCTCTCCCGAAACGTGGGCGCCGAGGCGGGTTTCCCGACTAGGGGAAACGTGCAGACGGTCCCTCCCGCCCCCCTTCTACCATCAGGGCAGGACATCCGCAGTCCGCGTGTGTGAGTTCAAACAAAACTTGGGGTTTAAGATGCAAGGTCTGCGCTTCCCGCTGTCCTGGAGGCTCGGCGTGACCTTCCCTCGCTGCGCGTCCCTGGGGCCTCGTTGACAAGGTCGTGACCAGCAGCACAGAGCCTCCCTCAGGAGGCTCTGCAGCCTCTGTGCCGAGCGCCCGCTCTAGATGCAAAGTAACAGGAACGAACCAGCCGCCCTCCCCCAGCCCATCGCTCCCTCCGGAATTACAGTTAGAATCCACCCTGATTCCATCAGTTCAAAGTCACCGACGTCTGTCTGATCAAACCACAGTGGGAAACGGGTCCACCTCCAGTCCACTCTGAATGCAAAGGCGAGTCTTCCAATGACGAGAGAGGAGTTAACACAATAACAAGATGTAAATGACTTTATTTGGGAACAACGTCGGGGTCTTGGTGCAAGAAGCTCCGCTCCAGCAGAGGCGTCAGCATGCGGCTCTCCTGGCGCTACCCGACACGGCGCAGGTGCCGGGGCCGAGCGACCACGCCGTGTGCCGCACTGTCACCGAGCTGCGGACTTGCCTGGGGTTTCAGTGTTTTTTTCCTGCGAACTGGTTTTCCTGTTCCAGAACGGACACCACGCAGGTGTAGGAAAGGATGGCAGTGAGTGATAAGGGAAGGGAACAGCATAGGGACACTGCAGGGGACAAGCCCTGAACTGGGAAGCCACAAGGGGACAGAGGAAAGGCCGCACACTCACAAGAAACGAGATCGAAGAGACAACCAGAGATGTCGCTACAACAGCACTGCGTCCACCCCCACTGTGGCCCGTGCTGCTCACCAGGCTGCTGCCCGCCTCCCCTGGGTGCTCCGCTACTGGAGCAGGGAGGCCCCACGGAGAAGCCCGTGGCTGTCCCAGCTACGCAGAGCCCTGGCTCAGAGGTTCTGCCTGGGGGGGAGGCAGCATCAGAACAGAGAGCTCTTCACCTCTTCCCCGAAGGGACTGACTTCCTCTGCAGGGAGCGCGGGGAAGTCCAGAACGGCCGGGGCTGAGAGGAAGGGCAGCTGCATCTGCTGTGGGTGGCTGGTCTGCAGGAGAGGACAGCGGGGCGCGGTGAGAGGAGCCCTCAGGGGCCAGAGCAGCGCAGAGGCCGACCCAGAGCTCTTCCTTCAGAGAAGCCGGAGCGTGACAGGGTCAGTGTGCAGGGCGCGCTTCCGCCTCAGGCCTTAGCTGGAAACCACTGGGCAATCGGCTGGCAGTTAATAGAGCTCCGGGCTGGGGTGTGTGGGGGTAGAGTCCCCCTAAAAGCACTGTCATCCCAGGGCGACTGTGGGCACACCCAGCACTGCCTTGTGTGTGTGTGGGGGAGCAGACCCCCACAGAATAACCCAGAAACTCACTAAACAAACAAACAAACAGTGCACTAAGGAGAGCAAGCCCTGGGGCGGGGCTGGGAGATCCGTGCCCAGTGTTGCTCCAAGATCCGTGCCCAGTGTTGCTCCAACGTACCATCCAAAACGCCCCATTTCAACAAGGAATTGTGAAGCTTGCGAGGAAGCAGCGGATCACACACGGGAAAAGGGCTTGGCTCTGGGCTGATCAGAAAGTGTTTAAAGTGGTCGTTTTAAATGTGTGAAGAGAGAACAGAAAATGATGAAAAAGTAAGATTTGATGATCGTGTTGTGTCTAACAGAAAATATCAATGAAAATAGTTATTATAAAAACCAAATGTAAGTTCCATAGTAGAAAAGTAGGACTAAATTCTATGCAGCAGAGAGAAAGAAGGAGCTACTACCCTTTGCAACAACATGGATGGAGCTGGAAAGCATTATGCTGAGTGAAATAAGCCACCTGTTGAAAGACAAATACCATATGATCTCACCATTAACAGGAAGCTAAACAACAAAACAAACAAGCAAGCAAAATAAAAACAAAGACATTGAAATAGAGAACAAGGGGACAGTGACCAGAGGGGAGAGGGAAGGGAATTTAAGAGGAAAAAACGGGAGGGATTTAGAGGAACAAGTATAAAGGACACAGGGACAATAACTAAGGGGGGTGGAAATGGGAGGGAGGTAGGGAGCACGGAGCGGGGTGGGCTGGGATGGGAGAAATAGAAAACTGTACTTGAAAAATAACTAAATAAAATTTTTAAAAAAGAAAGAAAAGTAGGACTAAATAAAACATTCAGTAGAGAGGCTCCACAGTAGGTGTGACCTGGCAGAATAAGAATAAGCGAACCTGAAGACAGGCTGATCGCTACGCAAGCCAAAGAAGAGAGAGAAAGAGCCAAAGAAAATGGAGAGAGTCTCAGAGAAATGCTGGCCACCACTACGTGAACCAATGCACACACAGTAAGAGTTCCAGGAAGAGAGGACAGAGAGGAGCAGAAAGACAGTCAGAGAGATAATGAGAGGGAACTCCTGAACTGACCAAAGACCACCACCGGCACACCCAGGATGCTCAGAGACCAGAATTCCAGGCAGACTGAATGCAAAGACCCCACAGACACATCGCTGTGAAAACGCCGAGTCAGAGACAAGGAGAAAAACCTTAAAGCAGAAAGAGGAAAATGACTCCTTACTCACAAGAGAAGCCCAATAAACAGGCCACTGACTTGGCAGCAGACACAGTGGAGGCCAGACCACAGGGGTACATCCTAATATATTCTAAGTTCTCAACAAACAAAGAAACAAACATACAACCCAACAAAACCCCAAAACAATACTGTCGACCAAGAGTCCTATAAGCTGGCAAAGCTCTCCTTCAAAAATGAAGGCGAAATAGACACTTCTGGGTAAACAAGTGCTGAGAGAACATGGGTGGACCAGCTGAACCAAGAAGCAGAAATATTACTACTGAAAGTTCTTCAGGCTGAAAGCAAGTGATCTCAGATGGCAATTCAAACCCAAAGAAAAAGAGCCAGCACCAGCAAGTGCAATTGTGTCCTTACTGAGGACAGTATAAAGGAAGCCCAACTCCTTCTCCTGAGTTGAAAAGCAATTACATGCAATAATACGGATACGACGCACAGGAAAACGCGCCACATTTGCAACACCGGCACCAAGGCGGCAGCACCAAGGCAGCGGCGAGCTGGAGCGAGGTGCTGTCGGGCTAAGAACACGGCTGCAGGTGGCAACGCAGGCATAGCGGTGTACTGTTGGGTTTGTGGCAACAGTGGAATAGTTATAACACATCCCCAAAAGCAGGCGACGAAACCAGAGCAACAGAGGGGCAACACTGCCGTTTCCCTGGAATTAGGCTGGGGCAAATCTGAAGCTGATTCTGCAGCTTTGACCGGGACGTTAAACCCAGAGCGACCACCAGGAAAGAAATTTTCTAAGCTGGTGGAAAGCATCACCCAATGAAACTGTTACTTTAGAACACATTCACTTTAGTCCATTTACACGAGGGCCATAGCAAAACAGAGTATAGTAAATACAAAAGTAAAACAGCACGCGTGCCTCCAACTATACCCACAGACCTGAACGTGGGTGGGCCAGCTGGACCGAGACCCAGAGACGTCGACGGGAAAAGGCCGCCGCACGCAAAGCCCAGCTACGTGCTGTCTACGGGGGCACTTCAGGGTCAAAGCCAGGCATGGCCGCTGGAGGTGGGCCCTGCAGCCCGGGAGCGCCCCGGTGGAAGCAAGCCCGCCCCCAGGAGGCGGGCCCGCGCCGTCAGGGTAGAAGGGGTCCCAGCCCCCTGCCTCCGGTCACAGTGCGCGCCGGTTACCAAGCGCCAGAAACTGGTGCCCCTCCATCCGCACTCCCTCTGGGGTGGGTTCCCCATCACCCTACTGTGCACGCGGGAGACTGCGGCCAAGCTGAGGTCGCCGAGGCTTGTGTGGTGGCAAGAGAAAAACATGACCCCATGGCTTGCCAGCGCCAGGAAAAAAACGCCTGGGGTCCAGACCAGCCCCGGAAAGGGAGCCCCGTTACAGGGAGCGCGGTCTGAAGCCCCTTCCCGGGGGCGCGGTCGGGGCAGCCCCCTCCAAGGGGCGTGGCCCGAGAGCTAACGGGGACTCAAACTCAGCAGAGGACGCCCCTAAGCCCGAGGCGTCCCTCTTCAGCTCCCAGGCAACCGGCGGCCGGAGCCCCCGCCTCCCCCGACCCTGCTCCCGCCAGACCTCGGCCCTCTCACCTTCCGGCTCCTCATGAGTGTGAGAAGCGCACTGCCGCCCCCGAAACGCCGCCAAGCCCCCCCCCGACTCCTGCCCAACGCTTCACTGCCCTGCTGCAACCCTCCGGTCCTCGGCCCGCTCAGTAGCGTCTGACGTCACCAAGGGCTCCACCAATCACACCCCGGAGTCTTCGGGCATGTGACCCAACAAAGTGGGCGCTGTACGTAGCGGACGGGCGGCGGCCATGTTTGTGAGGGTCACTTCCATCGCCTCTGCGGCCGCCGCGTTTCAGAGGGGCGGCAGCCATCTTTGGGACCGGCAGTTCCCTTGAAGTCCCTTGGGCGCGAGTCTCAAGAAGGGCGGGCGTTGACCGTGGTGGGCCCCCCGACTCCTGCTGTGTGAGCATCGTGAGCAGTGCTGGAGCCCCCTGGCCGGGCGGCCCGCCAAAGCCGCCTTCCTTGCAGTTGGGACTGCAAGCCCGGCGAGGTCCTGCATCTCTTGCTGGGGAACCTTGGCCAGAGGGCTCATCACCCTGACCCCACGAGCGGTGAGGTTCCCAGGGTATTGGTGGGACCTGGCCCGGGACCCCAGCGTGGCTGCACGCGTGAACCCAGCCTTTTCTCTGAGTTTGGGGGGAAAGGACTACATCAGGTCACTTCCTGTAACCCCCCCCCCAGCTTTCTTCCTGGTATTAACCCGGAAGGAATAAAAGACCTTCGAAATAAAAGACCTTTCAAAGTGAAAGACAACCAGCATTTATTGGAGATCAAAGAATGGCTGTTTGGAAGCACCGAATCGGAGGGTTCATATCGGCAACAAAGGCAGGGGGTATTGACGCGAAAGGGAAGGGGGTCGATGACACCCAGAGAAGGCAGGCGTGTCTGCAGGTGCAGATCAGCGGACATAGTGACACCAATGCCAAACAACGGTAAACATTTTCAGCTCCCTGGCCACCGGCCTGGTAGTCCATATTTCTGCTTTCTCGTTATCTTTGCAAACAGTTCTTTGGAACATGAGCTTGGGCCCCGTCCAAAGGTTGTTTTGCCCTGTGCTAACATTCCCAACGGTTTGAGGCATAAGACATGCAAGGGAGTTTCTCTGTGTTGAAAGAGGCTCCATTTATTTTATTCTTTATGCAGGAGTGGCCAACATTTTGGCGTCTGGGCAACACTGGGAGAAGAAGAGTTGTCTTGGGCCACGCATTAATTCACTGTGACCCATAATCACACACACACATGATCTCATAATGCTTTAAGAAAATTTACCATTTTGTGTTGGACAGTGTTCACAGCCACCCTGGGCTGCAGGTTGGACACCCCTGTTAGGATGGGGGCCTAACCCCTTCACCCTGCATCCCTCTCTGCGTGCCTCCTTGGCCTCTGTGAGAGCAGGTCACGGGGAGCCACCCGGCCACCTTCCCAGAGCCCCTGGCAATGCACTGGCTCTTGTCCACCCCGGGATGCGGCTGTGTCTCAACATTTGAGACTGTCACAAAGTTGAAACCCAGCTTTGCCCTCACACACCTCAGGCCCTGGTTCCTGGACTTCAGGACGGGCCTCAGAAAGGGCGCAGTGGGCTACAGACCCCTGCAGGCTGAGGGACGTGCCCTCCCTGTGACCACAGCCGTGTGCTTTGCACATGGATGAGCGCGGTGCTTCCTTTTCTATGACAGTTTTTGCAGGTGAGAACACTTAAGGCGGAAGAGGGAGCTATGTGGCACCATGGCCTCGTGTGCTGCCCGGGGGTCCCTCTGTGCTTTGTTCTGTGGTGGAGGCACGATACATAGTCGATTCCGAAAGCACTGATATTCTCTGCTCGCGGGGAATGACTCCCTCCAAGCCCGAAAGTGCAGCTGATGCCTCCTTTTACTGCATGAAAAGTGAGCCTGCTTACGACTCTGCCAGCGCCTCTGCTCAGCGGAGGGCCCTTCAGTTAGATGGCACTCGCAGCTGGTCCCGGCAGTGTGCGAGGCCTGTGCAGGGTTCGCCAGTGCACATGCACGCACATGCACGCACACGCACGCACACGCACGCACACACAGTCGCCTACCCCGTGGTGGCACCCTTTCCCCCGCAGGCCTGTGCTTCTCCCGTGTTGTCTCCCGTGGCACACACGGAAGGGAGAAGACAAGTGTGGGCTGGCAGGAGATCCATTTGAAAAGGAACCGATGTACCACTGGCTGTTAAGAAAAATCCAAAGCGATGCTGGATTGAACACCCGACCTGTCCCGTTTTCACGGAAATCGCCTTCACAATCAGCTGGGTTGGGTGGTTTTATTTTGGAGCCCTTCAGAGCCCAGAGCTCTCAGAAACCAGGCTTTGGTCGCCAGCAGCCATGGAGGGCCCGACGGCCGCTCCCAGTGAGTGTCGATGCGCAGAAACGCCACTCTGTGCTGGGCCGCGGCCCCGGCCTCTGCTGTGAGTTGGACGTCTTGGAGGGGCGCCTGGTTTCTGTTCACAGACACGCCCTGTTCCCCGCTCACCCGGCTTCCCACCGCAGTTACCTCCGACACGCCAACATGTTCCAGAGGGACACCAGCGCCGAGCAGGGAGCGGTTGCTGTGGAGAGAAGCTGGTGCGGAAAGGTGTTGGAGACAGCGTTGGAGACGAGGAGGGGCAGGGAGGGGGAGAGTGTGGGTGTGTGTGTGGCAGTGGCCCCCGTGGCTCCCTCGTGGAGCCCTGGCCCTGGCTGCTGGCCTAACTCAGGGAGACTTTCGTGGCCTCCTCCGCAGACGCAGCCCTGGTCCGTGTCATCCCAGTGTTTTTGAATGGTGGGCCGCTCTCTGGTTCCAATCTCTGCAGCCCTCTGGGAACAGGGTTCCCCGGCGGGTCGGCCGCATGTGCTCACATCTGAGCGAATCTGTGACCAGCAGAAGGCTGTTATCACGGCCGGGCTCACGGGCTTTGGAGACGCACGGACAGCGGCCTGAGAGCTCACAGCTCTCCCTCTTCTCCCGCCGCAGGGAGCTCGGAGGGATGCTCGCTCAGAAATTCTCGGTTTTACCTCGTTTGCCTGCCTTTCCACTCCTGGCTTCTGTCTCTCAACGGCAACAAGTTGTGTGTGTTCTAAACATCTCCTTGCGCTGCTGTTTTTATTGACGGCAACTCACGATCGTTTTGGCAAAGGAGCCAGGGTGCGAACGTGGACCCAGCCGGCACTGGGCCAGTGGAAATACACCAGGATTAGCCAGGAATTGTCTCCTGCCTCTTCAACACGAGGAAAATGTCATTGTCCTCATGTGTATCCATCAAACCCGTCTTGGAGAGTCAGAAGGGACAGAGAAGCAAGCCTGGACACACTGCGGGGCAGCCGAACTTGGGGACAGCCACGTCTCATTTCCCGCACACACAACACCCCACGTGGGTGTGGAGGAGGCCGCAGGGAGGCCGTGAGCTCCACCTCGCCCTGGCCCGGGAGCTCCCCGGCCGGCAGACCAGCTCACTGAAGGTGACCATCCTCCCAGAGCCTCCTGGATACGGAGCCCAAGATGCGCAGAGCCAGGCAAAGGCCCGATTTCCGGCTCGGTGGGAGAAGTGCTTCCTGAAGATCCCTGGGCGGGGGGGCTGTGCCGATGGGAAGCCCTGTTCCGAGAGCCCCGGGGTCCCCAGAGCGGGTGGGGGAGGGGTGGGCCCGGACCCCCCAGACGGGGGGGGGGCAGGGTGCGGCTGGGCATCGGTCTCTCAGAGCAGGTTTACTCCGTTTCCCACGCGCGCAGGCATCCGCGTGCCACCACCCCTCCCGGCTCATTCGGCCCAGCATCAGTGGCACGTGAGGGACAGCCACCGAAGGAATGTGTTTTGCCCACGGACATGACAACCTCTGACTGGTGGCTGTTTCCTCCTGTGGCCGCGGTACGGCGTGCGGTCTGTGCGTGGGAATGGCACGGTCTCGGGGACCGTCTGAGTTTCAGGCACTGCCTTCATCGGAACGCCAGCACGGGGAGGACCCGCCACCACCGACATCGGAGATGGCCACCCAGGAGAAGGTACGGTGACAGCTGCTGTCACCCGGGACGACCCCCAGTGAGGACCAGGGGCGTCCCTGCCTGGGGCCTTGTGGAGCACAATGCCACCTGATTTTAAGTCAGAGTTCCACGCGGGCTGTGCAGACGGTGCTCAGTGGCCCTGTGTGCCCGGCTGTCGGTCAGCTGGAGGCCCTGGGAGGGCAGCTGGGGCAGCCACCGGGGCACAGGGACCTGTGATGTGGTCCTCCCAGCAGCCTCCCCCGCGTGACCGACAAGCCACTAAGACACTCACCTTAGGGACATGGGACTGCAGGGGTCAGTGGCCGCAGCATTGGCTTCTGGGAAAGGAGGCAGGGTGGGGGAACCCCCGTTTCAGAGCCACGTGGCTGGCCTCACGGCAGGGCGCGGGTGCTCGAGGGTGTGTAGTTAATACACAAAATGTAGGGGACGTGCGTCTGCAGGTTGGCTGGGGAGGGCTGCTCCGCGAGAACTGGGGTTGCAAGGGATGCTGGGGATTTGCTCTGCTCTGTGGGTGCTGAGGGCAGAGTGTGACCCCGCTCCGTCAGCCGGCTCGCCTGCAGGGGGCGTCCCTGACACCCTTGAGGGGCATCTGCCTGCTCAGGTCCCCCATGGCTGGCATCCCTGTGGCATGGCTCCCTAAGAACCCGGAGCAGACTCACATTGAAGATGCTAAATGCTGAAAAACCGGCACCATGGGTAAACGCAGGGGGCATGTCCAGGGCTACCTGTGGCCCCTTCACAGCAGCTAACGGGTGAGCCAATGCCGGGAACTTAATCTTGCTGGTAGTGCCTTGGCGGAGCCTGAGCTCCCAGCGTGCTCCTGGCTGCTGGAGGAAACGTTGCACCCACCTTGTCTTGCTTTGGCACCATAGCTGGCACAGGAGAGGAAGGCGGGACCTGCCCTGCCACCTGCTCTCCACACACGGCCATGGGTTCCTGGGGCGTTGGCTCAGGGATGGGAGTGGTGGACAGCCTGGGTGAGGGTTTGTGACGGACCCCCCCAGAGTTCTGGACATTTCCAAGTTCACATAGTTGGCATGAGACGCCATTTAGAGATGAGACGCCATTTCCCCTTGGACTTGCCGGTCCTGGGTTTTGTCCGAGACCTGGATTCATACCAGACCAGGACGTTGGGGAGAGGTGTTCATTCTCCCTCCCTCCCTCCCTCTCTCTCACACACACAAACACACACAGAGGACACGGCCCACACGAGACCTCACTTCCCTTGCAAGTTCAGGGCCCCCCAGGACCACCCTCAGGCTTGCTGACTTTCTGCAAGGACCCACAGGACCCACTGGGAGCTGCTCCCCTCGTGGGAGCGGCTTCTTCCAGGGTGAGGCCGCAGCCTCAGAGAGGCGCCCTTGGAGTCCTGGAGGAGGGCCCAGAGCGCAGCCTCCAGGTGCCCCCCAGAGGTCAGCACAGGGCCCTCTCTCCAGCAGCGTGTGTGACACTGTGTGGGGAGGACGGCCAGCTGGACAGCCTCTCCTGAGCCTCAGTGTCCGCAGGTGACACTCCTTGTTCGGCGGGGCTTCATTACAGAGGCGTGATGGACGGTCGATCAGTTGATGGTCGGTTGATGATTGGTTGCCCACATCACCGAGCTCCGTCTCCAGGTGACTGATAGC